AGGCCTTTAAGATGTCTATGAGGAAAAGGGCATTCATTGGATTCTCAAAATGAGAAATCTCTGTTATATTGAGTGACTTTTATATTGGAGTTAGTACATCTCTCTCATGGATTTTACTAAAAAAGGGCTTAATACATCATTTTGTTTTTACCAAGGAGGGCTTCTTTATGTAATAAGGTTTGTTTAATAATAGTTCCTAATATGAATCTTGAATGTTCCCAAACGTGACTAAAGGAATCTTGAAACCTTACTGATAGGGTTATTTCATTTTATAATAAAGTTCGGATATAACGCATGCTGTCAATTAGTTGAAAGTTGTCGAGCAAACAAAGACTCGAAACTCACTTGAGTTGTGTTAATGGCAAAGGTGAGAAATAACACAAGCCAATCACAGTTTTGAATGCGACTACAAATCGTCTTTTACCCTCATATTTATAAAAGAAGGATACCACATTCGGAAGTATAAGAGATACATAGATGATCCCAGTGTACCAGTACCTAAATCTACAAAGCTTGACCGTAGCAAGCGTTCAGCAACACGTTCCAACACCGCCATCTCGATTCCTCAGTCAGTCGTTTCCACTGAACTTAAAGCAGTATTGACAACAGAGTAGAGTGCGTCTTACAAAGGAGAAACATTTGTGCAAGAGACAGAAGTAGCTATATGCGATTACAGAGGTGCGTTGGAACTCTGGTCCACAAATAGTTATGCACTGCCCGAAGTATAAAACCATTTTGTTGATAGCTGACAGACAGAGAAGAACAACAAGTAAACTTAAGAGCTGTTATTATTGAAGTGTGACTAGCACTTTTCATTTTTATATAAAGAAGGACTTGTAATTTGCACCAAAAATAAAATGATGTAATATTTTTTGGGAGATCCAGTGATTGGGACATTTAAGAAATTAAGTTATGAAAGGAAACTTGGTTGGTACTTCTCACTCTCACTACTAACAAGTCTTGTTGACAAATATTTTCAGATCAGAGTTTCAAATAAAGTAAATTGAAGACGTCATTTAAAAGGATGTTATTTCTCAAAGGGAACATTGACTACCTCTGTCTTGTCTGCATGCCAAATGTTTGCAAAGTGTGTGGATGATCCACAAGTATTGGAACTCTTACAAAAATGTTTTGTAAGAATAAAAAAAGCAAAACAAATTACAGCAATTAGTCATGAAAATAGAGCAAAAAACTGAAAAAAAAAAGCAGCAACAACAATCATGAAAAAAGAAAGATTAATAAGGTGTTGAATTTGTTTGTCTAAGGCATGAAATTTCTACTAAAAGTATTGTCAACAAAAAGTCTCTGACAGCGTTTGAGGCAACTGAGCTTGACTGTTCCAAGGTTTTCTTACAAAGGCAACCAGTAATGTAGGTTAGGGAAGTAAGATAACAATGTAATTATTGTTAATTATTGCGCAAGTTGGCAATTTCCATTTAACATAACTGACAGCTGGTTCATGAGAAAATCCATAGTAATATAAAGATTTACTAAAACTTAGTTTGAATAATAAATTTCATGATCGTTAAGTTATAAACATGTACATGTATGTATATCTCTTGGTAAGTTTTGTATAGCATACCTTTTATTGAGCCAAAGTTTTAAGCCTCTGAAATTACTCTTTTTCTTAAAACCTTCACATTCAAGGTATTGAGAATTTCTTTGAATTTATGTGGACCTCAGGGTATTAAATTGCCTCAAATTCAATTCCCAGAAATTCCCAAGAGTTCCACACTTCTTAAATTATAGGTAGTTTGTAAAGCTGAGAATTCCTAGGAATTCCAAGGGATTCCAAGTCTTCACAAAACTGGAGTCTTCCTTACCAGAAATTCCAAGTAATTCCAAGCTTTTTAAATCAGAGTTAATTTGCATAGTTGGGAATTTTTGAGAATTCCTAATTTTTGAGGAATTCCTTGGAATTCCCAGGAATTCAGTTTGCAAGGGTCATTTGCATAATTTGGAATTTTTGAGAATTCCTAGGAATTCCCAGAAAACTGGGAATTCAGTTCACAAGGGTTGTACCCACTTTGGAACTTGAGTTTGATTGGAACACAAGCTTTATTGTCTGGTAACATTGATGTTGTTGTGTCTAAAAACACAATTCTTCGCATCCTGCACTTTTGGCATGCTGTGACTCACTAATTAAAAGGTGATTTCACCAGTTAAAAGGTACAGAAAACTTCATTGTGTAGGGCTGTGCCTAAAGATCAATAAACATATTTCCTCTTGTAGAAAAATCTACTGGTAAGCCTCGCACTGAAAGCCAAGCTTGCTGATGCAATCTCATGTGATCTTTGAATGACATAATATTGAGGTAGAATTGAGAAATATCACTTGGGCTACATGTATATCCTTGGATATTCCTCAGTTTTAGCTGGTCACATAATGTTTTTTTTGGAGCATTTACACCAATCATTAGCAAGCTAAAATGTTTGATGGTTTATAATCTGTATTATAATCCAATGCAGGATTGATCTAGACACATCATGCAACTGACTGTGCCCCAGCTTAAAGTAACTCTTGTCAAATGCCATTAAAGTCTTTGTTTTATTCTTTATTTCATGTTGGGAGAGATTTCTTCTGTTGTTGCAGAAGAAGGAACATATTTGTTTGTTCATAGAGATGTATGGAGAACTGACTGAAAGCAGTAAACAAATACATGTATAGTTGTTTGTAGATATTTTGTTCTATTTTTGTCCTATACATTACAAAAATATTTGAAAGATGATAAACACAAAAGCCTCCATTTGGTGCAAAAACATGCTTGTATATTTGCCCTTGGACATTATCTGTTTCTTGAAGTTCATAGTTCACCTCTTGAAACATGTAATGTATGGACAAATATGCAAGCATATTTGCATGTCAAATGAAGCCTTTAGTTAATAGTTTGAATTTATTTTTTTCCCTATCAATAATTCACACAATATGGAACTTAACCCACACTGTGGCACTGCAAAATAGTTATAATATTTTTCTTAACCCTTTATATGATAGTTATGAAAGTGTGCAATTTTAAAAATATTCTGGACTATTCTGTACACTGGACTCACAATTTGTGATTGAAACCAATTCCTGAGATATAAATGGAACATTTTTCCAATTCCTCTAATATATAGTTCTGACAGTGTACAATGATGGTGTGCGATATTTAGCCCCATGACAGAAATGCAACACTTTCTGTATCCCTTTCTATGATAGCTATGATAGTGTGCAGTTCATGAAATATTCTAGACTATTCTTTACACTGGGTACACAGTTTGTGTTGGAAGCTAAAATACTGAGAAAGGTTTTTTTAGAAAATAAAGGGGGTTTTTGGGCTTTTGAAATGCTGAAGGATAAGGTTCATGACCACACAGAAAAGTGGCTATTTTCTGGGGCTATAATCTGGCAATACAGGACACAAATACCTGAATTAGTGTTTTTTTGTTTTCACCATCATTTAGTTTTGTAAATTGTTATTTTGCCTAGTGATAAAAATGCAAAATTTTTCTTATCCCTTATCATGCTAACATCAATATGCATATTCTCCATACAGTTCCCTATACACCTTGTAAGGTGCTGATAAGGAGAATTTGTTCAATAATCAAAATCCTCTTTAGTTTGTGATTGTTATGTGTATTCCTGTGACCTTAATGCTTGATTCAGGGATGATATTGTAAGGAGAAATTAGATGGTAGTCACTTTTAGGGTTAAAGGGTTATAGCTTAATATGTTTTTATTTTTTTATGTTTTCCATGATTAATCAACCTTTTCACTCCTTGAAGTGATTAACATGTAACTTCTCCCTATAATGTCCATACATCATCCAGCAAACAGGTAGTGAGAATACTCAAACTCATCAAGTACACAATATTACTTTGATTGAATACTAAATTATCACAACCAATTTTCAAGGAAAAGTGTGGCAGCAAGAGTGAAGAATTAGCAATCAGATCTTGGGAGTTAAATATAAAGGGTTAAAAAGTTTTTACACCGTATACTTTGGCAACTTGAAGTAGAGTATTTGGTTAAGATTATTTTGTGACATATTAGGTCTAGATGTCAGTTAATATGGATTATTCAACATGAGTGGTGTTAGATTGTTCTTACAGTGTTATTTCAGAAAGATGAAACCAATGTTGTTTTAATTCCATAATTACCTCTTCAGACATAAGCATTTTAATCCTTTAACTCTCAGAAGTGACTAACATGTAACTTCTCCCTATAATACTTATACATTTTCCATTAAACAGTTTATGAGAATACTCAAACTTATCAGGTTAAAGTTGTGTTCTTAATCTCACACCCAATTCTCATAATTAATTTACAAGGAATTTTGTATCTACAAGAGGGGAGAATTAACAATGAGATCTTGGGAGGTTAAGGGTAAGGGAAGATGTTGAGGTTTGATTTAAAGAGGAGAAAGTCAAGGATGGCTGAATGTCAGTCACAAGAACTTGTTTGGAAATACATCATTTTGTATAAATTCACAAATAAAGATAGTAATACATGTACATTTTCACGTACTAATGTGCTCTGCAATTCAAGGTTTCCCAATTAAGGTGCTGCATTGTTTCCCTGTTTTTGTTAAAATACTGCTTGATTATTGGTTGTACTAAAACTTCATACAATTTACATGTATCTTCATCTGGAAAAATTTCTTTGCCTCACGTAATATATAAAAGGGTTATCATTTTATTAAGAGACAAAATTATATTTCTCTCTGCAAGCCCAATAGAGTAGCAGCCAAGAGAAATTTAGGTCTTTTGAGTAAGGTTGTTACATTTAACTTCTATGTATTATGCGTAGAAGCCAAAGTAATTCCGAATTAGACTTTCTCTGATATAAACAGAGGCTTATCTCTGTTAACTTCCCACAGCACGAAGTATGAAGAAGAACTGTGTGGCCTGATTGGGATGCTAATCCACCACAGTCTATTCCTTCATCCCTTCCCCCCCCCCCCCCCCGACTTTCATCAGGTTTGTCTGACAGTTCAGCATTATCCATTTATGCTCCTGCAGGTGGAAGATAAGATGAAAGATAAAGTGAGCCTAGGAGCTAGATCAAGGCCCATCCGGCTGGACATTAAGCTTATTTCAATGGCATAAAGAAGGGTCTTACATACCTACCCGTTGTGGTGAGAAATCCTTTGATCTTCTCGGGTGGAGAAGAAAAAATTGGTGATGATACAATTATTTTTGTAGCAGTTTGAATTAACCACTGAAGCCGAAAGCATTCAAAAGTTCCAAAACATTTTGCTGACTTTCAAGCAAAAACCGAATCCAGTAATGGTTTTGTTGTTCATGCCTAGGTAATGTTATTTGTTGGCAAAGTGAATTATGTCACTTTTGCATCTCTAAGATCTATTGTTTACCTGGTATTGGCAAACCAGGATCAGATCGTGGATTGAATCAAGGACCAGATCACGAACGCATTAAAGATCAGATCATGGATCGGATCGCGGATCGGATCGCGGATCGGATCGCGGATCGGATCGCGGATCGGATCGCGGATCGGATCACGGACGAGATCACGGACCGTTCACAGTTTTTACAGCTTAAATGTAATCTGTTCAACAGTTCATGCGTGCTACACCGTCGAAACTGACTGTTCTGTGTTTAAGTGCTCGTTTTCGCAGTTGGCGTTCAATATTCTTCTGTTATTGAAAAATCCTCCGTGGTTCCATTACGAACTGATCATAGCAGCATTTATTCATTTAGTTATATATTTAATTCATAATGTTCTTTTCCATCCATATTTTGATCCTGTGATCCCACCAGTGATCCGATCCGTGATCCGATCGACGATTTGGTTGTCGACGCCGATTATCCTACCCCCTGCTTTGGCACTTAACACGAACCTCGGCCTTGATAATTCTCGCCGCTATGATCAACCTCATTCAACCTCATTCAATAATTTTGCAACATCAGCCTTACCATGATACTGTGGGAGCATCACACTCCTCGTTTAGCCTCTGGGTTAGTTAACTACAGACTGCATGCGCCCGCTCAGGTCAGGTTCATTTTCTTTTTTCCTGGATGGGTTAGTTATTGTTTGGTGTAATGTGTTTACGTACAGTCCAATCTCACAGGATGTTAAAATGTGTATTCTTACTTTCATCATTATTGTTTTCCTCCATTTTAGTGAGGACATAACGCGGAAGTTAAAGATTTATTAACCATCGGATTCTAATCAGACTGTTTCGCTTACAAGTGCAAAATCAAGTTTTCAGTGCATAACTAAGAAGTTGTATACACCGCATGAAATTTCCATGTACTTTAAATGAGCAATAAAGTTTTCTATTGTTTTACAATACACTTTGAAAAGCGCCACTTTCTGGTTGTCTTTTCGCGAAAAGAAGTGTATCGAAAAATCGAAAACTGCAAGCCGATAGTGCTGAAGACTTTGGTTGAGCGAATTTACGCCGAACTGATAAAACAAACGTAAGGATTGTGAACCAAAAAGCCTTAAAGTAATGCCAGCATCGCTTGACCGTGTTGACAGGTACTTGAAGAACAAATTATGTAGCTGTTCTTTTGTATGGGTCAGAGAAATCAGTTCGTCTATTAGCGGTTGTTGAATGGAAAAACGTAACAGCTTCACTCGGCTGGCCGAGTAATCACCCGGCATGACATAAACCATCAGTTCTAAGCAAACTATAGCGAGCATTCAACTTAAATACTACTTTGAAAAACATTCCAAGGGCACAATTGTGTTGGTGACTAGCCAAACATCAAGATTACCGAAATCAATTGATCCTTGTAAAATGATGTGTTTTAATGTGACGTTTACTTAATATGTTGTGTTTTATATCAACCCCTTCAACTGTGAAAAAGACAACAGCCCATTTTTTGGTGAGAGTGAAAGTTTCTTTATTAAAAAACGTTTACGTGATCACTTTCTTTGAGTACATGTAAATTAAAGCAAATAGATAAATAAAAATAAAACAAAACAAAGCAGCATGAACAAAAAAAATTGAAAAGAATACTGAAATGAAATTTTAAAACCATGATTATACTGCTCATTCAAATTTCATTTCTGATGGAAAATAAATTTCCTTGTAGAAGGACTACGCCTTAGAGTTTCAAGCGTCGCAACTGCATAATAGCGACATTAATGAAGTTCTCGATAGTTAGCCATTTATCGTTCTTTTTTCCGCGAGCATAATACTGATTAGGCCTAAACGCACATACTGCCTTCACTCTCTCTGGATTCCATAACGCAATGAGAAGTTCAGTCCACGTATATGATAGCCTTTTATCTGAGTTAAATCATGAAAGTCAATATCTGAAAAGTGGTTATTATATAGGGTTAACGACCAGATACATCAGAATGAAATAGATTACTGGATAACGTCTACTGCACGGAAGCAAAATGTAAAGATATCGGTAATTGCTTATTAAAAATTTTCCTGCGAGGTAGTCGAAAGATGGGGGCAAAGATGGGTTAGCATTAAGCGTATCGTGAAACGGCACGATTTGAAACTCTTCTTTTCCCTCGTGTTCGTGTTCTGACTCTTTAATTTGCTACCAAAATCTTGCTGATTAATTGATTACAGTCTCGCAACCCAGTTGCAGTGTCACTCCCAGATACACTTGCAGATTCTTCATTCTTCAGTTGGGTTTGTATGAAGGGGGTGATAAAACGAGAGATCCTGGAACCGCGCTGGCGGCGCGCTCTATTTCATGTAAGCAAAATCGTGTTATCCTAATAATTTCTGGGCTTGATGGAGAGTAAAGGGTCGAGCTAAGGTCGTTGACGATCGCAGGATGAAAGAATTTTTGTCCTGAGTGAGTTTAAAGGTCAGTATACTTTCAATTTACGTAATTAAAGCTATATGCAGGATCATAGGATGAAATTATTCGGCCAGTTTGGCTTATAATTCCTGTTGTCCTTGTTTATGTCATTGACGAAATCTCTTACTATTCAGCCAGATCGTATTATTTGTTAAGTTAAATGTCATGGTTCCGCCAGAAGGACTTCACATAAGCGATGAAAATGTGACCGTGAGCCTGTGTATTCACTTGTTCATCGAGGGTCTAGAAATCACAAAGCGTTACGTTGCGCAATTTTATCAGTATTACGGGTCCTTAGAAAGACTCGGTAATGTGATATTTGGTTGAGATTTACGGCGCAGCTAGTCAAATTAAGTTCGTCTTCTGTTATCAAAACAGGTCTGCAAGGGGAATTGGTAAAGCAACAGGCAAATTTTTTGTAACCTTGAATATTAAATTATGCGTAATAGCCAGATAATTCCCTGATCCTTGATGCTTGAACACCCTGGTCTGCTAAATGTGCTCCCTTGGAATTCTTATTTAGATTGTGTGCAGTATAATAAATTGTCCCTAATATTTGGTATTCATGTTATGCTGGCGTTTCTTGCTGTATGTGTTCTAAAACTCACATGCCTTTCTCTCATTTCCCTCCTATCTAATTGCTATGTTCGGTTCTCTAATGTTCTGATTTTTTTTTTCTTTTTTCTGTATTTAGAGCTGTTTAAACATATTAAATTCACTTGCTTGTAATGTTTTGCTCCGCTTAGTGAAAAACGTATGTAGGGAACATCAGGAAAATTGTTCACTGAATGAAAGGGTCATATCCCTTGAGTAAGTGAATTCAAAGATTTGCATTCACCAACATGATTTATTTAGCTTGAGTAACATTCATGCCAAACTTTTTACTTTGAACTAAGAAGGATGCAAGGGGAAGCTTATAATGCTCTCTTCTCAATTATGCTAAGAATTGATAGTACCATTATTAAGTGAAGGGGTCAGGGTGTAAATAAATTTCTACGAATAAAAACCCTTCGCATGAAAGGCTGTGAAGTAAGCACCTAACTTCGACAACTGATGCAAAGTGTGATATTCAAAGGCTCAAATAACCAGAGCATGATGTTACAAGTGATGGGATAGCTTTGCAAGTGCAAAATGCAAATGTGATTTTAAAAACTTTTTCAGAACATGTTATAAGAGATTATTACAAAACTTTTCAGTGGTTTTATCAACGTCAGGGTGAGTTTAATCCACAAAAACCAACAGCTACCCTGAACTGGTTGTAGACATAAATTCTTACAATACAGACCATTCTGTATATGCATGAGTTATGTTCATTACAACTGTAAATATTCTTGGGAACACCAGTTGAATCTTCAGCCTGTAGATGCATTGCAGTTAAGGGGCAAATTTGGTGTTGTTTTATTTTTGACCTGTAGAGAAAATATTAAAGAGATTTTAAATTTTCTGCCGCAGCATTTATTGTTTGCAGAAATCAGGTTTAGATATGCTTTGTGATTGTAATATGTGGACCTGTTTGATACGCTTAGTGTCCTATGAAGTTTATTTGTGGAATATTATAAGAATTCAGTGGAAGAAGTCAGTTCATGTAACAGAAAGCTATGCCAAAGTTTAGTGTACCCTGGGTATGATCTGCTGTCAATCAGTGAAAGTATGTGACATGTTATCCCTGCAGTGGTCTGGATACAAAACATTCAAATGAATTTATTTCAATATTTTAATAAATTTCAGAATATCATAATGATTCAGATCCAATTATTAAACAAGCATCACCTGTTACTCATTACTGCTGTTTCTTGAGGATTCTCCTATTATACTCTGACAATGCTTCCATCTAACAATTTCTCTGAAAATAATCACTCAGTTTAAAAACTGCGGTAATTATAAGGGCCAATGAGAGCAAAGGAAAATATCACACGGAGCTAACGAGAACTCGCAGTGAAAACAAGCAAACCGCCCAAAGCACGAAAAAACGTGCGTGACGCAGTCGTCATTGGTTTAAGTTTTCTATATGATTGGCTAAGAGAAGGGCCGAATTTTTCGACTCCTATTTAAGACTACCGTGAAGCAGAACAAATACAATCCCGGAATTACTGTCGACTTTCTGTGGAAAACTGGTATTAAAATTACTGATTAGGAATGTATGAAACTTGCCACTTATAGGGATGCAGTTTTGACTCGCAAACTGAACGAAATCAAAACCTCTGTATTTGGTGCGAGTTGAGCCGATTTCGAATTAAAATTGTGTAAGTTGTGTCGTCTTAGTGCGCGTCAGCTCCAAATGGCATTGCAATGTTTATCAAAGTTTCTAGTTTTCGACAAGCATTTTCTGTGCTAATTTGAGGGCAGCATTTATTTAAAACTTTTCAAAAATGCACGGGTAACAATGTTATCCTTTTATTGTATGCTCTTTTCTTTTTTCAAAAACCTTTTAAAATAAGGCTGAGCAAAAAAAGCTTGTACCCAAATAGCAACAAGACTGACAGAAGCCAACAAAAGTCACTATAAAGTGTCTCTGGAACTAGGTGTGAATAAGTTCCCACCTACTACCATTAAGGAATGCAAAAGCGGCTCATGTTGGGCAATCATCTTAGTGGTAAGGTGGACCGTCCCTCAAAATAACCTCGCCGCTTACAGAATCGAAAGATGTCTATGACACCACCCACCACGCTCTTTTTTTATTCGGTGGCGGTAATTGTAAACATATTTTGCTCATGCACTTGCCACTATAATAGTGGTTCTGTAAAACTAATTTGGTCTCTGATGCCGTTTATTCGAAAGCGACGGATTTTTGCAGCACTGTCTAAGTATTAGGATTTTTGCTTCTTGCTGTGGATGATATTTAGGGCCCAGGTTTTTCTTTCTTTTATCAATCATTTTCTTACATGTAATAGCGAGGCTCATGGTTAAAAACTGCGTCACTAGCAACATAGCCAACTACTATTTGTCACATTAAACCAGAATGCACTTGTGTCGCATGCCTTTAACGGGAGCACTCTCCTTCTTTCCGTCTCTGCATTCCAACATACTGATTGTCACACCGACTGAATACTCGGGAAAAATACATGTTGAAAGGCTACTTGAAAGGCCAAATGTTTTGCCAACAAAGATGTCGAATTTTGGCAAAGATTGAACTTCACAGGATGGCGAAAATTATTGAATGATAGGCTTGAATTTACCCTTGAAACCGTAAGATAGACCAGCATCTAATTTCTCCTACAATATCACTCCTGAATCACACATTAAGGTCATGAGAATGAAGAAAATGGTCACCAGGGAAGGAACCTTTTGATTGGCAAACAAATTCTCCTTGTCAGCACCTTAAGAAATGTATAAAGAACAGTGAAGAGAAGGTGCATACAGGTTTTCCTTTTTCCTGTTCGCTTGTGGAGCGAAACGCGCCGATGTGAATGCAGCTTCACACCAGGTCTGCCACATCCACATTTAGGAAAATGATGCGTCTATGCATCATTACTTTCTCAGCGAAAGAAGGCGGCAGAATTTTTGTTTAATTTTGTTTTAGAACTGTCAAAAGTGGAAAAATCATCTTCCGGTTCATGTTTGAACAATTGAAACGTGTCATGTGACGTTACGTCAATACAGCTTTAGACCTTCGACCATATTGTGCTATTTGGTAAAAAATCAGCCATAGTGTTTGTGGGCTAGTTTCAATGCCAGTCGTTCCATTTTCATGTTGTATTTTATGGTTTGATAAGTATCTTCTGGTTTATTAGAGTGAACCGACAAGAAAGTATATTTTGGATATTTGCCCGTAACAAGGAAAGGTAGGAATTACTTATATTCGATGTTAATCTGCTATTTTCTTTAAACACGAGCTTCACGTTTGTCGAATGCATTGTACGCAGGGCAAAGGCTGTAGTCCACGCACGGTATACCCCCTGTTATGTCGCCACGTTGTATTTTTTCGGTGTTGACTAGAGTTAAGGTCTGATGGTTTGTAACATGTAATTAAGGTTTTTACATCCAAACATCAATTCCGTTTAATGCGGTAATTCATTCGACGAAAGTGATTACAAGAATTAACAAAGAATTCAAGACTACTCAATTTTGGCTCGACAAAAAAGTTAGGGGATATTTGACTTTCATTGTAGCCTGTTCACAGGCTTACCTATGCTCTTTCGATTCTTTTGAATCCTCATCTTGAGCTGGAGCGAAATAACGTATACGGATATAAGAAGGTGAAGAGGAGAGATAAAGCGGTCTTTGGAATTCTTCGGAACGACTACTTTATTTAGGTTTGCTTAAAAGCATTCGGTGGAGTGTCCTAACTAGCCGCACATGTTGTTATTTGTACATTAGTGCAGCATCAAAAGAAAAACGTTAATTACACCTTAAAACGTTCCTTCAACGGCGTGAGAGCCATCGAGTTAGGTATGTTGAGCGAAACAGTCCTAGAAAGCCTCAGATTACTAATGTTAAAGAATGTAACAAGGAGGATATTGCGGATGTTTTGTTTCGATTGTTTGGGTCTATTCTAGATCAACTTCTTGATGGATATTGAAATTTCTTGATAGATGATTGTAAGTTATTTCAATTTTAAGTGCTACGCCCTTTTCTAGTGCAGCGTGTGTGGGAGAATTTTTAATATTTATATTTTTAATAAATATTCTTACGGAGGGAAGCCTCCAAGCATACAGCACCCATCTCTGGTTAAACTCTTACGTAGAATGGAAGATTACAAGGAACAAGTCGGTTAGTTAGCCGATTAAGCCACGTGGGTATGTGAATTAGCAATTGCAATATTAAGGACTTAAAAGTATTCTCTGACGCCGTAGTGATATTGTCAGAGCACATGTCATTGTTGACTCATTGCAGGTGTTTTAAATCAAGCGTGACTAGAAAGTCACGAAAGCTTGAGTCTCGTGAGCACGTTGTGAATGCAAAGGAGCCTGGCATGATTGTTCACCACAAATACATAACTAACAATGATGAGCTTTGTACACGATGTGCAGACGTCAGACCAAGCTTTCTGGTATGCTCAAGTCGAGCTTTATTGATACGATTGAATGATGATGCCTTATCACGTACCAACTGGTCTCCTAGAAAGCCTCATGGCTGGTTGAAAAATATTTTCATTCTTGCTTGTCGGTTGTTTGATTTCCGCCCTAATAGTGCGGCCAGCTGTGGCGATAAAACGATAAGATCATTCTAAGGTAGAGATAAGAATAGAATTGTGTTTCGATTTGGTCAGGAAACGGCGTCTTTTGTAAGAGGGTAAATTGCAAAACAATTTTTTTGCCAGTTGCATTTTGTGGCTAGTTAGGTTAAGTTTTGCCGGTTCTCTTTTGGTGTCAATTGATTTTAACACCTTGTCAACACCAGCTAAAGTCAGTGATTAATAACCACCTGGTTATTTTATCGTGGACAAAGATGCATTTCCTGTGAGAGCCCAAAGGCGATGTAAATACTGTATAGACGATAACGGGTGCTAAGGCGCTAAAAAAAAAGGAGGCTTCTATAGTACTTTCTCATGCTGCATATTCTCGTCTACACAGAGCGAAGTAGAGACAGTTTATGTTGTTACAAACGTTGGTGGGAGAGATTTTTAAAATTGACCTCGTGATGACGGTGTTGATGGTGGAGGAGGATAGTGAAGGCAAAAGGGTTAATCTTGTCACTTTACAGGTTTAATCTTGTCACAAGGCCGTTCAATTTAAGGTATTAAGTTATGAATAAAACAAAAACGTTACGTTACGCCAATCCTCTTCTCAGAACGAAGTTCGATTAGGTAACTCGTTGGCTACTTCTTCACGTGGTGTCATTGAATGAATATATCTCTTGGTTTGCTTGAAAGGAGTTACCGACTGGGACCCCTTAACCCCATTTGATAGTCGGAATGAAATTTTTTTTGATGACCTCCTACAAATGAAGCAACATCTAGAAGTGAACACTGAAATTGTTACTTGAAATGTTAAAGCTACATGTAGGTCAGAGAGTAACGTACATTTTATGGATCAATATCAATATCCGGGCAACTGCCCACCTACCCCTCCCCTAACTCAACAACAGTCAACTGACGACAAGTTAAGGTTAATGTTGGGTTAGGAGAGGGGTAGGTTGGCAGTTGCCCAGATACTGATATTGATCCCATTTCATTTCTTACCCTCTTTAGCATATGAGCGATCCCCTCCCCTTTACCCCCCCCCCCCCCTCCGTCCATCTTTTGCCCTCTTTCCTCTTGGGTTTTGTTTCAGTGGGAATTTGTGATATGCTTTCTAGTTATTTACATAATTAGGGCATTTATATGTGCATGAAGTTCACCGTTGGATACAACCGAGCAAGATAACAAGCTGGTGAACTCATGTGCGTCGTCTTGTATTGTGGTAACGGTGACCGGTGGTTGTCCAAGGGAACTGTAAATTAGAAGTCGGCAAGTATCAGTCAAATGTTTATATTTATAAGGCATATAGTCGTGATTAGTCTTTACTTGATGAATTAGCCTTGAAAGTTTATAAATGCGTGAGCCTCAATATCCATCTAGTCATTCCTTTCAGAATAACACAAGAATAGTAGATGTGAATAGTCGCTCGGTTTCCTACAAAAATTAGTTTTAATTTATATTTAGAATTAAGGCATTATCGCCACCGTGGTGGTGTTGTACCACTGTTTCCTGTAGGAAATTAATAGCATTTTTGTGCGGTGATGTGTAACGCAAACAAGCATTTTAATGCAATAACTTGAAGATCCTTTTCTTGTACATTTTGCCGAGTCAGAAAGTATTGGTATCTGCTTTGTTTTCCGTGATTTAGGGAATGCGATGATATCACAACCCTTTCAACAGGTTCGATACAACACACGCAAAAAAAGAAAGCTGTTCACCTTTTCTGCACTCTCATATGTTTTTGAATTGAGAAACACTTGTGCTAAGATAGTAAATAAATTTTTTTTTGCTCTCAGTTTTACACTCACTAACCGGGTGTACGTTAAAGAATACCCTTAGTCATTAGAACGCTCGTGCAGATAGCTGAAACATGTTTGATTTGATACGTTGACCCCGAGGGATGTGATTTTGAATTCTTTCTCACTCTGTGGATTTTTGACAAATGGAGGCATTTGGTTTTCTTCAAACGACACATCAGCTTGTTTCAAAATCTTCTCGGTTTGGAAAAATTGCGGAAAGAAGAAATTTTATTCAATTTCCTTGATCTGCGAGTGTGGAGGGATATGTCAGAGTAAAATCTTTCCCTGTATATAAGTTGTGATTTTTTTTCCCTTTGACAACGGTCGAATTAAACGGCTTTCGCGTTATATCGCATCGTAAACCACGGACGTCCACTTGATTACAGAAAAAAGTATTAAAATTGGTTGGTTTTCCAGATTTAATATGTTTCTTTCAGCGGAAACTATACGATCTTTCAGTGGGGCAACCGCTGGGGCTGAAAAGCGCCAAAGACAACAATAGAATCTCACGAAAATCATGTAACTGATCAAATGCTTTGCTTAGAAATGCGTTTAACACACCAAGATTACTTCCATGCACAAAATTGTGGCTAATGTGTCCAAAGTGGTGATGGAAAGGGAGTTATTAACTTTTTAAATGACATTGTACATAAACTAGGCTGATTCTGGTTTGGCATTGTACCCAGTGAAACGAGCTTGTTGTTCTTTTGATCATTTGCTGTGGCAGACCAGATTTTAGGGGTGCGATGGGATCTTTCTTTGTTGTTGTGTTTTCTCTCTTTCCCGCGATGGGAAGCGGGTCGGTATTGGGTGACTCTACCTGGTTGACACAGCACACGCCCCTAGGAGCACCCAAATGTGTAAGTGTCTCGGGCATAAAGCACGACATGACATGAAGAAACGTTCATTTTCCATTGGCAAGTTTGTCAGTTTGGTCTGCAAGTGATCCCAGGTGTTTAAATCCTCCATCACATTACATTATCGACCTTGCTTGATGCATAATTCCCCTTTAGTACTGTGTTATTATAATTGTAAAGGTTTCATTGGGTTAAATTTAGGAGATCACTCTCGGTGAAGGGGGGAGGATGCTTTGATTAACATGACCATCAGGGAACTTATTTTTTCCAGATGGCATCACCATATTTTATTTAATACTTAATTTCAATAGTTTTTTAAACAAATTTTTGGATTATCCTTACGTTTCATGCTTCTGCAAATAATGCAGCTCCAAGGAAGCACGCTCTCGAGTAAGACAAAAATATCCTCAGAAATTATCTAATAATTACAAAATGGACCTTCGCCATCATTATTTGTATAGGAAATGTAGCTTTATATGAAAGAGAACAATTTTACAAAAATTAAGGTCAATTTTCAACAAATGATATGTATATTCTTTTTCCGTAGACGAGGCAAAATAAGTTTGAGGTTTTTCAAAGCGTCACAACTAGCTATCTTTTTATAGAAAAGGTGTTATTGGTTCTCAGCCTTTTAAAATGGACTTATGGTCATTTTTAAATGTAGCTTAAAATCTACATATGACGGCTCTTAGAAATTTTAACTGAGTATGGAAGCTCTGAATCACTTACTACCAAAACGGCTACGATAGCTAAAAACTTGCTTATATTTGAAACAAGCAACCTTTAAGGACAAATTGCTGCTCGAATCAGGTATATCAAACGAGACACAAATGTTGGTGTAAAACTAGGCAGTAGCTTACAGAAAAAATATCATTTATACTCCGAATATTTACACTTCCTTGCATAACGTTTAAAAACTTAAGAATAATTTATGTATCTATATATATGTACGGCAGACTTTTAGAATATGAAAATGCGAATAATATATTCTGTGACAGCCAGCAAGTCAAAGGCATGTTTTCTGTCAACTGAATAGATTTCTAGTTTTGTGAATTCTTCCTTTCGACCGATGATATGTGACAAATGATACTGGGAAATTTTTCCCCAATTTTAGGGCCACCCAAGAGTAAAATGCTGAAGTTAAAGTCGTGCCTTTGTAAGCCTGGCCAGGGGGGGAGAGTCAAGGGTAAGAGGCGGAGGGGGTTGTGGGATACTGAGATAATCGAGTTTTCCCACTCGAGATGGCTATAGACTTTAAATTTCTGAGGAAATGAATTCTAACATAATACCTGAAATTACCTCGAGATGTTGAATTGTGTCTGTATGAAAAATTCCAACAGTTCAGTAAAGAAGAGATAGTTTAAACCTGTATTATGATATAATATACGTACATCCGAGTTTAAAAGATCTCTTTTACCCGAATACATAAATGGCTTTGCAGAGTCTGCCCCAAGAAATGGTTTGAGGTAGTGAAAGTGAAGTGATCTGCTTGTGGCAAAGAAGTTAGTCTAGAGTAAGATTTATGTCATAAACCTTTAGGACATCTGAATTCTTCAAAAAGAAACTGTGGTGTTCTTTTTTAGGTCTTGTGGAGTTCTTTTACAATTCCTGTGGAGAAAACAAGAACATTCTTTTGATACGTGAAAGTAAATGGTTGTCTTCATCATCCTAGTAAACTTTTTTTAGCTCCACGTTTCATTCCCTTATTTTAAGACTGGTGAAGCTCTCACTGGAAAATAAAGTCTGCTTGCCTTATGAATATAAAATATGACAACTATTATTTATAAAAAAAGTGAAATTGTTCTTTTAACCTGCAGGTATTGATTTATTTCTTTGATATGTGCTCGTCATTGTCACTGCTGTCATTATAACAGTGCAGGTCAATTCTTCTAGTAAGAGGTGTTCAAAGAAGGTGCAGCAGAAATCTAGATTAGTTATGTTTTCCCATTTATTGTTGATAGTACTGCAGCATTCAGTTTCATTGGCACTGGTGAAAATCTCAAAAGCTGTGTGTTCATGCATTTCATCATGTAAAAAAACGGACAAACCTGATGTGTGTAAGACGAGCTAAACTCTTGAAGTAGGCTTTCCTCATTATTTCTGTGGGTATAAAGATATAGTGGAAAAGAGTTGTTGAATTGCAAATACCGTGATGGTCAAAAACTCATCCTGAGTTAAGGCTCACAGGACGAACTTTACATTCTTTGCCTATGTGCTAGAATTCAATAAACCATAGGAAAGACCCTTGCCAAGAAAGGAAATGATGCTTTATCAAGATGAACTTTTGAGACAACTTTCAATCAACATGTGTGCTTATTTGAAATGGCTTTTGACTAAAATGTCTCGCCATAGCTACTTGTATGGGTAAGCATGACAACTGGAGGGCAAAGGAATTAGTAATGACAGGGCTGCATCCTCAGCCCTTGAACCTACCACCTTGAGATACCTAAAGGAGATGTGTTCGGGAAGGTCACAAAATTAGAAAGGTGGCAGCTAAGTTCCAAGCACATTATCATGTTTTCTTCTTAAAACCACTTTGTCCCCGTTGATAGCCACTGCGGATGGTATTGGTTTGAATAAAAAATAAACAAGGCTTCCCACTCTTACAATGCGAGTCTTCAGAGCAGAAAGTTATCTATCCTCAACCACAAGTTTCAAGTCAGTTTCAACCAATAAACCTGGCCTGTATTTGTATAGGTGGAGTATGGTCGTGGAGCTCTCGCCAAATTATATGTAAGGCTGCTTGGGAGACCCTCAGTGGATCAAGTAAGCATTAAATGTTGTCACAATTAACGTATCACCAGGCTTGGTGTTGCTTAGTGACCCAAATTGTTCACCCAGATCTTTTGGGGCCTGACTGTGTGGGCAATATTTGCCTCTAGTCCTGCCTAGTGCTACTTACCTTCCCATTCCACAACCACATACTTTTGTTATTGTCTATCACAGTTCCTCAAGGGCGGTGTAAATTCTCAAACAATGTTATCAAATGCAGGCTGTCTTAGGAATGGCAATTATCAAAAACTCCAGAGGGCTTATGATGGTCTGAGGTGTGGAAGTTTTCAGCCACAAGGAACATTTTTATAGCAGGTGAAGGCTCCTACATGCAAGATGCGGTTGATATAACATTATTCTAAGAAGAATCTTATCTTCTCAGTCAATGATAAAGTGACTCAATAAATTACCTTGAATGGTCCAAGACCTGTGTGTCACATTCAGCCATTTCGTTCTTTAAGAAGGATAACAACTTCTCGACTTGTTGCTGGAAGGTATCACTCTCATCTCCTTTGTTTGGCTACAGGTGATATAAATTGAATGGTTCAAGATCAGCTTTTGAATTTATTTGATCGTGATTCCTTTTTTAGACAACGGTTGTTAATTAATTGCCGTCTGCATCATGAGACTTACCTAGTTGTATTAATTTGACAGTGCATTGTTGGTAAATAGACTACTGTTTTGAGGATTTATTAGTTCTGCCTATTAGTGACTAATGAAGCAGCAACAAATATCCATGAATGAGGACAAATTTAAGTTGATCTGTTCCTGGAACGAATATATTGTGTATGGTGCTTAATCTAATATTTGATTGTTCTTACCAAAACAAATAGTTTCCATTCGTCTTTATGATGCAAACTGAATGAAAAAAAATTCAAACAGAATGTTTGCTACTTAGCATAATAACGTCCACGGAATTTGACGAAACAATGACTGGATTATATTATTAAACATGTTTAAAATTTTTCCATGAAAATGAATTAATAGAATTTACCTGGAGGATAACCCTATCCTCGTAAAGTTATACAACTGGATATATTTCCAGATCTTTCGTAAAAGCTGTACTAGAAGTTCTTGCTGAGAGGTGTCTTCTCCCTCACGATACATATACTGCAGAGAAAAGGAAAGAAATGTTTCAGTACAGTGAATTTTTTTTTCTGAAGTTTGTTTCAGAATTTGATGTTATCTGCAGCTATTTGTTATAATACCTACCTGAAGTAGCTCTTTTTGCTTTTCAAGGGTTCTTGTAATACACGTGTATTCTGCTCCTCCTGGGTATTCCTGTCAAAGAAGGGTTTTTTTTTTGTTATTATAACCAGGCTCATTGTCTGGCTTTTACTAGGCCATCGAACAAGCATACATTTCGTAGTATGGAAATGGCTCTTTCAGTTACATCTCTGTGAGGTTTGGGCTTGAAAATCCCCGAGTAACAAGACACTTACTAGCTCAAGGGATAAGCTTGTAGATATAGTTTTGATGACGCAAAGGCCTCCCTCCAAATTGAACACAGCGTGCTGCACTGAATTTAAAAGTATTACAAACCGGCTGTACAGTAAACTGTCTCATGCCCATGAGTGCCTAGAAATGAATGTACGATTACTTTTGATGGATGCTCTCGCCCGTTTTCAAAATGAATTTTACCACGGAGATAGCTCCCCTTACCATTCTGTATTTAAATAGGGATACTGATTTTCCCTTGGGACAACTGATCCATACCTTGCCCATCGTAATTCTTTGAGCAATGGTTAAGAGTAAGACTGGTTATTTGTCAAATTCATTATACCTGCTTGTGCGTGTTATCTTTCCTAATGCTTCACTTCTTTTTCAAAGTGATGGACATCTATAAATTTATCTTCTGCCTAAATAACAGTGTGTCTTCTGCGCGTGAAATATCAAAACAAACTCAACATTTACATACCCAATTCAGAGTTTTCCATAGTTGTTTACTCTCCTCCGTTGGTTGTCTGACAAAGATAATACCAGAAATATTGGTTACACACCCCTTGGAGGTACTTAGAAAAGTTTTTACCAACGTTACTGCTACCTCAGGTACATATTACTACACCACAATGATAAAACATTAAACTACAACACTTACAATTTTGAATTCATTTTAATGCCGGTATTTTAGTGCCGGTATTTCAACTGACAACAAAACACCTACAAAGCAATACCTAAAATTACTAATATTGCCACTCTACAGTATGCTGTAAAGTAACTGTAGTTACTGTCCAATGCATTACACAATATCAATAATGCAAACCAGTACAATACTCAAACTTTAAATATATGTACTCCAGTGGCTGCGCATCTTTTGATTTTTAATCGTTTTAATAACATTTTTACTTTCCGTACTGCTCTCAAGAACACACACAGTAATACACTGTTACAACACAAAGGTATCATTTGAAAGCGATTTCCTTTATAATGCAATAATAGGCTTGTCTTTAGTTCCGTTATTTTGTATGCCATTGAGTTAACATGTCATCTTTTGTTTTTAACGGTGTTTTGTTCCGGTGTGAGTAAACACGTGAAAAGCTGAAGATATTTTTTGCATGACTGCATTTTATTCTACAACATATTAAAATTTCTGGACCCTACCTTGTTGTCAGCGATTTCATTCGTTGTTCGTAGATCAGATTCAAGTAGCTTATTATTGGGCTGGTAAACTCGCGTAGTGAATGGAGTAGAACCCTTGTGTTTCCTTGATTTGACTGGTTATGTAAATTTGGACAAAAATTACATTTAGCAACGTGCGGCATTACGGAATTAAATCGATATCGTAATTTTTGAAACATGTCTATATCTTTTGGACTTTATGTTAAAGTCAGTGAGTAAATTTAACTTAATAAGTAAATTTAAAAAGCAACGGGATGAAACAATATTTAGAGGATAGCTACGTAATATTCCATGTTAATGAGGTCTGAACTCAATGGCGCTTGTACACTAACAATTTTTGCTGTTCATAAACGAAAATTACAGCTGGCCGAATCATTCGTGCTATTTTTACTGTTTCGTCACACTCGCCTCTTGGTTCTCTGGTTGCCGGGTTCGCTGTGAAGTGGCCATATCTACTCAGCTCAATGCTATTCCGAAAAGTAGTGTCAACGTATAGACATGCTATCGAAACAACTTGAGCCACTGAGGGGCTGGACAAATCTATTTTCAATGACGTCACATATTTTTCTCATTACATTACGGGTAGAGTGAGTACGGTTTGGGGGAGGGGTATGGTTTACCTCTGTTCGTCGATCTATCGTGGCAAACTGCTGGGTCATATCCCAATAAAATGTGTTCGTTATTCATTTCTTCAATAACTTTTCTCTTCCTGCCGAGACGGTTTCGTTTTTTGTACTTGTTGTGAGTTGAAGGTAACATCTTAAAAAACAATCTGGTGCTCAAAAACCTCTGATAATTTGTAGAAAACTTTGTCCTTGTCAGTCTTCTCTTCTTTGTTCCTTCGGTTGTAATGAATTGTTTCTCCCCTTGCGGTTGTTACTGTCTAAGCTAAGACCTTAAAGCCGACTGCTTGTAGTCGCTGGTTCTTTCTACATCCTTGGTTTTTCCTCGGAGCAACCGTGAAGCCATTTATTTCTTTGTTAGACAGTCATGTGTGAGTCCGCCAGAAGTTGATATTTGAGAACTCTGAAGAGAAATATAATACGTTTAACATTCTTGAATTCTGCAAACGCTATTTAAAGCTCAAGTTCTGATTACGCAGGATGTTTGAAGTATTCTATTACGACCTCAGCTGTCAATTGTGACCCCAAGAAAGAAATTCTGATGAAGCCGCTCACTTTTGCCTGTTCACTTCTTTAAGTATGCCAAACGTGTAGCCTATAAGGTTTTTAATTATATTTAAACCCAGTGCCTGACGAGATTCAGCCAATCATTTTTTTTTAAGTGAGTGGCGGGGTGCACGGAACCATGTTACCTTTTAGGTATACACTGGGATGATGCAGTAACCCAAGCTTTATCCGTTGAGATGATGCAACACGATGATTTTTGATCTGTTAAGATCTGTTGGGATAAAAGCTTCCAGAGAAGATAAGGCAAACGTAACAGCTTTGCGTCACTGTGGAAATGCATTCTTTTGACTATATTATACACACAGCGTAAACGATAATTTTGAAACCCTTGGTTGATTTTGCAATTGGCGTTTTCAGTATTGTCATAATTTAATTAATCTCTCGCGTGATTCTGGCGTCTTCAATCTTATGGAAATGAAGCTTTCAAAAGCGTGACCTTTGAAATACTATTTGTCAATCCATCTTCACAGCAGATGATTGACATTTGTTTTGTCTGTATGGTCAGTAAATGGTCATAGATTGCCCACGGGCCGCATTCTGGCTAGAGGCTTGGCTCGAGTTCTTGCTTTAGTCTGGGCCCGATAAAGCGGAAAGGCTGAGTGTTTCCCTTCGAAGAAAAGGCTGTGTCATCTTATACTTTTTTTCCAATCCTTCCATAGCGCTTTAGCCTTTAAGTATGAAGTAACTCTTGGCGGAAGCCAAAGGGCAGATCAACCCAAAAATTCTGTACTATAAAGTGATAGAGTAAGGATTTTGAAGTTGTGAAATTTGACCACAAAATACAAAAGCTTGCGAAGATTGTAAAATCTCGCAAGATAAATCTCTCTAACAGTGGATGTACTGAATAACCTTGAAAAGGTGGTGTCCCTTTCTCGGCGCAACTTGGCAGGACGACTTATTCCGCCCGGATATACGAAAAAATTAATTTCTTACAATTTCACCAGCGTGGTGAACTGCAAATGATGTAGCTTGATAGGCTAAGCATACAATGGACCGAATGGGATAATTAAGAACTCTACAGACTTGGTCGTCTCCCGAACTTGAAATCGAAAGGGGCGGTTTTTTAGTTTCGAAACTGAAGTTATCCACTATTTTTAGTAAAAGCTTATTTTTCCTCATGGTTTGCTATATAGTCGGCTTCACGTGGTTGCTCTTATACCTTTTTGAACCATGTCAGAATAAAACCAGGAGGGACACAAAAGATTGTAAGTATTTACAGAGCCGTTATGTTTCATTAAATCCGAAAATATATCTTTTGAGGACAGCGATTGGAAGTACCATGCCTCAGATTCTTTTCGGTCGTAAATTGATAACAAATTCAATTATTTGGGTCGACGAAATTCCTTGAGCCGCAGTCAGGAGTTGAGTATGTTTTACAGGGGGAGTGTGTGGGGAGTCACATTTTCTCTGGTTTTGTTCATTCTGATGTCTTCTTTTGCACGACATTTTTTGTGCTGATCTTTGGCTTCATTGAGAACTGTTGCGGAATTCTGATAACCCCGGAACCTCGTTTGACAAATAAACGTCTTAAAATAATTTACAGTGGCGTCTTCCCTAAGGAAACTGAAAACAAAACTTTTTCTCGCAGAAATATCTAAGTGTGATCTGCATAATATTATAATTGACGGGCAAATTAAAAGAAGCATAGTTTAATTATAATTGGCACGGAGAGGCTAGAGGAACCATGAGGCCTTTGAGCTAACCCATTAATACCATTTAATTATTGGTTGAATGTCAATTATAAGTATTCACTATACTCTCGAGTCATCTTTCTCTTGTAGACTCACAAATGTATGGGATTTGGCAGGTTTTCTGTTTAGTATGTGGATAAAAATCTCCTGCAACACTATCTTCTAGTGTTATTATAAAACTTTCTGTTCAATGCTGTAAAAATCATGCTATTTGAGTGGACACATGCAGTCTTAGACTGCCTACTATTCTTTTGTGGTGATGATCGTTATTATAATCGAGTGAATAAGTTGATGATGTGCAACTTGGGTCTCTGTGGATGTGGCTTTTTTGAGCGGCGGTTTTGAATTGATTATGTTTGAGTCAGCGGACATCTGTGAATACCAGCCTTTTTCAGAAATACCGTCTACCTCCCGCTTTATTACTATTCTTGCGGTTTACGTTTATAGCAGAATAGCGTGGTTTGTCAAGCTCAGCTTTATATGATATTTGGAGCAGTGAAATCTAAAGCTTAAAACGTGAAATGTGAACGAAAGGACTTCATTTTCAGGCAAGAAGCTTACTTCTATTGTATATTTGGGTGTCATTTTCCACTAGTAGACTAGACTAGACTATTTACACTTCAACATGTGATACTAGTTATGGTATTGCAAGCCATTATTTGTGAAGTTGGCCCTCAATTCTGAAATCCTGGCTTATAAGACGTTAAATTTTTCTTGATTTGAATTTCCCTTTCGTTTGTAAAGTACGTTATCTTTAATCAGTACTATTTTTTTCACTTCATGCAAGTACATCGCTTAGAGTCAACAATATTATCCTTTGAAGATTTTCTTGTTCTTTTTCTATCTCCATTGTAGAGGGACACGTCAATAATATCATTGTAGGACAGTGTCAAAACTGAAACATTCGCCACGTTTTTCCCGTCGTATTTTACCCTCGTGCTTGCAACTTTCAATAGTGCCCTCCTCCTTTGCTTTTGATTTATGGAAAGAAAGACCTCATGGATATACTATCAAGTTATTTCTATTACTGTGCGATTGAGAAAGATTTTTCTTGATGCTGATCAACAAGAAAACCCTTTGATATTGAGTCTCGTGCATGTGGTTTTTTTGCGCTTACAATGAATGGATGACGGCTTCATTATTTACAGAAGAGAATACCAAGGCTATTGGAAAACTCCGCATTTTTTATTTACCACAACATTCTTTTTCAGGAGGATTTGTACTCGTTCAGGCGTAGTAATTGTTCAATTAAACGGTTGCTTCGCAGCAATTTTGCTTTGTTTAATCAAATTTTACCCGTAGGCCGTTCTTTTGTTGATGTGTGTTTCTCGGAACGATTTTGGCAAGTTAGCACGAGGCAGCAGCTGAGAGCAAAATGACTTGTAAACAATTTTTGACCTTCTCTTCATTGTTATTGGTGAGAGTCAATATCTATATTTCCGTCACATCTTATGATAAACCGCGCAGTTATTCTAATTATATGTAGTACTTCTTTGTGCTTGCAAAGAAAGAATCGTAGTTGCATGACGAACGTGTTTGTGGTCAGCCACAAGGCTTTGGAAATGATAAAGGATACCGATGTGTTCCGATATTGATTTTGCTGATGAACGCGTATGTTTAAATATGTTACTATGCTTTGTATTCTCATTGTTACCCATATACTCCGCTCAACTTTTTCTGGACTCAACCACTTAATAAATTTAGTGTGGTAAATTACAATGGACTTTTTTACATTGATAATTCAGACTGTCAGATGTATTCCAATTATATTTACAAACGTTACTCTTCTATATCATGCAGAGCCAAAGACTTATAGGATAGATATCTTACGCTATATGATTCACGCACTCATAGCCTGCGACTACTATATTTGTGAATGTTTACTCCTTTTTTGAGTAAAGAATGAGTCACAACTTATAGCACCTATACGGTGCCATAGTTGTTTGCCATTTCTTAAAAGAAATATTTTATTTTTGCTAATCTTAGGAAGCAGCCCATTTTTAACGAGCAGTGCTTCCTTGTAATGCATTTAGGTGAGGTTTGGAAGAAACTAAATTCAAACTGCCCCTATTTACAATTTATGTATTTAGCCAAAGGTAGTTTATATGGCTCAGTAGCATGCTAAAAAGAGAAGTTGCAATGTTGAAAAGGATGCTTGATGAGAAGAGAAAATGACTGCTTTTTACCAGGTGCGAAAGTCTCTCTACTTTCGTTAGTGACTAAATGTCCAAAAAGTTTGTTCTGCAGAGGTTAGTTACCATAATGTGTTCAGTGATGCAGTTTTGTTTTTGTTATCGTTTTTAGACTGTTAATGCTAAGTGTAAATCCCGAAAGTTTCCTTGATGATGAAATAGTTTTGGCAGGTTGATGTTCTTGAAAATAGACAGCAACCTTGTTTATTGTCTTATTCCCCCTATAATATTGGCAACTTGTGTTTTGCATAAACTTCTTCGTCCCGTACTTCTGTTAATAATTGTGTCTTTGCTCATTAAAAAAAGCTGTTTCAGGTTAACACTTGAATAACTTCACCCTTAGGTTATGACTTATAAAGTTAAGTATCTGAAAATTCCATCTTGATTAGTAGCGAAGTGAGGCCGAATGTAGCTCTTATCAAATTGGAAAAGCCTTGAGGCACAGTCGTGATAGTTCTGTATTTCTTAGCTGGTGAAATCCAGTTTAAGATAAAGTAGTGTTCGGGAAAGTTTTTATATTATCTTTAGAAAGTCGCAATATTTAGTCCTGGTCAACCTTATGCAGTCGAACCGCGTGGTGACTGCGTGGTGACCGCTCAATACAGGTTTTACAGAATAGAGGTATTATAAAGACGACAAAAAACTTCATCATATAATTATGCCATAACTGACCAGTTAATGTAGAACGAATTGCTTAAAAATACTGATATTACTATCATCTATCTCGAGAGATAAAGATGGATTCAATTTTACTCGAAAGATTATTCTTAGTTTTACTTGAGTGGTTCCGTTTTAATTGACCGTTCAATACAGGGGAAGGACAGTGCAGAAAGGCCGTTGCGAATCCGTAAAGAGCGACCACGACCACTTAATAGAAATGAAAATTACACTAATTAAAGAGGTAAAAATTTCGGGACTTCGATAACCGACTTCTTCGTTGACCGCTAAATACGGTGCTGCTTTACACGGGTTCATCCACTGTATGCCACCAAGGCGGAGAAACATAGCCTGCAATTATTTCTTCGTCTGTTGAAAAGAAGGGCACACTGATACCGTTTTTGTTCCAATCTTTTCCATGATTTGGTTCTCTTTTTGCGATAAAATCGATCCTGTCTGAAAACCCGTCAAAGTACTAGTCTTCAAACAGTCGACGAAAATTTATTCAAGCGGCCGCACGTGGCGGCGTTTATTGCGTGTATATTTTAAATTATGCCCGGTGACATAAATAAGTACCGGCGTCAAAGCTAATTTAAACCATTTCGTGAGATCACTGTCACTACCACGGAATTCGAGAATTAATAATTACATGGGATAGTCGAAAAAGTTGTCCGTAGGCGAATGACGCAAGACGGTAGGCCATGCTCTGCCGACTTAGCGCTCGATTTATTTTCTAAAATTGATTTGACATCTAGTGGCGTATAGAGTTCGTCAGTCCAACTATATGCTTAAGTTGTGTGAGATTTGCATGATCGGTTTATTTCCTATTTATGTATTCGTAGAGAAAATACGGAGAGGGGGGGGGGGGGGGGTGGGAACAGTACAGAATGGCCGTCGTGAATCCGTAAAGAGCCAGAGTGGTGTGATTAAATCTGTGCTCTGATTACCGAGAATACGTACACTGAACCCTGAGCTTGACCTCACCGATGTTGTAAATATTTAAAGAGACACCAGTTGCTTGTGTGATTGATATCTGATTTGTCACGTTGCGTGACGCAGGGAATCCCATTGTTGGTGTTGTTTCACAAATTAAATTTAAGCACGAGCCTATTCTGAGACTGAACTTGTTTTTGCATTTATTTATCTCATTAATTTTACTGAAATGTATACAAGTGGATATTTCAAAAATATTAATAAAAATATTACAAAAAATATTACAAAAATATTACAAAAATATTACAAAAATATTACAAAATATTACAAAAATATTACCTAACCAACAGAGCCAATAGCAGTGCTAACATACTTGTATGAGATATCTGTAAATTTTCTTGAAAATAGAAGTTGTGAAATTGAAACACAAAGCAAATTTACAACAGTTTAGAAAGACCAGTGGACTCTGCCAAACAATCTGTGTTGTTACAACGCCAGCAAAACGCTGTGATCCAACAAACTGTCTATAATTTTCACAGTTCCTCTATGATCTGCGAAATTAAAGAAATAGAAAACCAATGCTTAAGTTGAATTGATGTTACTTTGAAATATGACAGATGCAAAATTGTTTTAATTATGATCTATATTTAGTATCTTGATCATTTAGTTAGTGGAGATTGTTTCACAATATCACAAGAAATTGGGAAGAAAAACTGTAAATATCGTGCAATGATCTTACGAAGCGCAAGGAAATTTGCCTTTCAAACCCTTTGTATTTAAGCAAAAATCTTAAATATTTACCCTTTCAAAGTCAAGAGGTCTTAAACTAGAAATAAAAAACTCCATATTAGAGTTCGAAAAAGTATTTATCTTTGCGGTTGAAATTAATTTTTGGTTGTATCATTTCCGTTAATCGTATTTAAAATTAGTTTTCTGAACTGGAGATATATTCTTTAGACAATAACCACAGAGATGTTAATTGACTGAATAGGGTGAAGGAACCTGGCGTCAAATAAAAGTTTAGCTAAACTCTGTAGTATGTTAATTTTTATTCACCTATTGGAATGATTGGATTGTTCTACAGAATCAACTGAACCTATATTTGACCAAGAAAGCGATGATGTAAGAACCGTTTTTAGCGTTTTTGCTATTGTTAGTTAAAATTTCTAGAAACAAACTTGTTTTAGGAAAAATGTTATAATTTGCTTTCAAAAAGAGGAGGAATAGAAATTTTATTTTGTTAGAGACCTCTTGAGTGTGAATCACAACAAAAGTGCAAATAATACTTCAGTACTCACCAAATCTTTTCCTGTCCATCCTCCGACTTGGTAGACTCTGATACTACAGAAAATAGAAAAAAACAAGTTATCTAAGGTTTTTTTTTTATCTCAAAGAACGGAGAAGGTGGTGATACGCTGCCGAATGGTTTCCAAACTGCAAAACAATGGAAATGCAATCGTCGAGGATATACTCTATTGGGGAATTAAGGAATAGATTCCTATGGAAGCTGTTTTTCTGAACCATTAATTGTTCTCTCAATGTGATAGCGTCGAGGATACACTCGCACATATTGGGAAAAATCGTAAATGAGCTTGTCACTTAGGCTACATTATGTTCGCCAGAAATTTTTGAGAAGTTACTTGAGCATGGAGATTCAGTGTTTAATTGTATTTTATCGCGTTGGAAAAGACTTCAATTTCCTAGGAAGCATTTAAAGACATTCTACTAACCAGTGGTGCGGCAATGTAGGAAACAAAACTACGTGATATGTCGGATATTCTCCTCCATTTTCAGCACACTGAAGACACCTGCGGCAGCTTAAAGCACGAAGAACTCTCCTCAAAGAACGAAGAAGGCGGTAATATGCTGCCCGATGGTTTCCGAACTGCAAAACAACAGAAATGCAATTGCTGGAAATTAGATTTTAAAATGCAAATGGATGTTCACTTCAGCTTTAGGTGGTTTGCGGCCAAAATGCTATAACGGCCAAAATGCTCCTAACTGTTTTTGAACCAAGAAGACCTATACTTGTCTTTAAGGGGTTGGATTTTTAAACATGCGAAGGACCATTGCGTTGGGATTGAATTTGCGATCATTCTCCAGTGAAAGACCACATGGATATCACGTAGATGGTTTTGCACATTTTCTGATACTTACGGCAGTATTTTGCATATTTTTTTCCTCACGAAACACTAGTCTTTCTGCACAAGTCACCACCGACGAAAGCAAAGCACTTTCATTTGGTTTGATTATCCATATTAGGAAAAGATTGTTATGGACTACTTACACTCGCCTTACTCCCCTCTCTTCTCGATCTCTTTCTTCCCTCACTTGCCGCCCCTTTGGTCGTTCTCTCACCAAAGTATTAACATGCCGATAACCATTTTTTGTTTACCATGATAAGTGGTTGTTCGTCAATAATTTCAGTTTAGTCGATTTCTCTGTTTCCTTTTTCTTTTGTTTCCTCTTGGTTTTGTTTATCGTATGGTATCGATTATAGAAATTAAAATATTGATCTGTTCTAGCTTAGATCTTACTAACTAACAACATTCTTACTCAGAGATTTTCGGATCAGGATTTGACGCGTACGCACATTAATGTAAGTTAGTAAGTTTTTGTTGGGCCTGCGTAAGTTTTTACGTGTCAATTGACCGTTGTGTCGTTATAACGTCCCGTAATACACATCACGTAATACACATTCCTTCTGCGTACCTTTGTTATGGCTTTGGAAGCACAGAGGGTCCTCGTTCTTTCCCAACGACCGTAGAAGCAATACGAATTCCATGTTGTTTCTGTTTGCTTCAGTCTATGATCATCTGGTGAGCGTGGTAGGTTGGTACGCCAGTTGTTTATATTTGAACCTCTCCTCTAATGGTCGTCTCTCAGACAAGATTCTTTCGTTCAAGCGTAGAAGTCACTACCGTGTTCCTTCTCTTGTGTTGTTTCGTTATCCTGTTTTTAATTCCAAATTGTGGCTCCGTCCTCGGATGGTGAAATGCCATTTTAATTAACTAGGAGCATTACTTATAATAAAGCACCAGTACACCAGAAGTAAACATCACGACGAAGTGCGTTCCAACCTTCGAGTAGATATCATGTCAGGCACAGCATCATCTTTACACTCCGTCTTGTTTGAAAAGCATGAAAGGTGCTGACTCAAGAGACAAAAGAATCTTTATCTGCATGCATCATTAACAATAAAGCACGTGATGTTTTTTGACGTGTTATTGAGCCGGCTCAAGAACATGAGTAATCGACTAAATGAGTAATTGACTGAGTTTCAAACGTGTGCTAATTAGTAATCGTTGGAGCGTTTCAAATGTCTGTTACTGCGGCTTTATGAAAGCTAAGCATGTTTGAAAGGCTGACCTAAGAGACAAAAGAATCTTTATCTGCATGCATAACAGTAAAGCACGTGATGTTTTTTGACGTGTTATTGAGCAATCGTTGGAGCGTTTCAAATGTATGCTACTGCGGCTTAATGAAAGCTAGGCGTTACTGTCAGTCACACCCCGCGGGTTTAGTATTAGCTCTTTGTCTCCTGACAAATGCCAATCGTAATAGGAATTGAATCAAGTAAACAAGATGCTGGAACGAAAGAGAACCGAATTCCTTCGTTTGGACGTTATGGATTTTACATTCAAGTCATATAACTGATACCTTTAATTTTTCTAAACAGTGTGGGATCAACATTATAGTGTTTGTTCGTTTAGTATCATATTGCGCATGTGAAAGATTTTACAGTCAGTTGCGGCTGATTTTTTTGAAATTTTTAAATAGAACTTAATGAATGTTGTTTTGTCTGCTCTCCAATAAATCTTTGAAGCGTTCGAGAGGAAAGCTATCTCGTTATGATTCTTCGGTGCAATCCTTTTCCGACAGTTTATCGATTCTTATTTCGGTGGCCGTACCACATGCTTACCCGATAGAGAGAGATTAAAAAAAACTTTTGTCAGGGGTAGGGTTGGAAAATGTTAATTTGCCGAGGCAAGCAAAAACGATAGCATATACTTAAACATGTAACAGCATGAGATAATTTACCCTTTTAAATTTCTATTAGGGTTTCAAAACTTTTGGTTCACTTAGCTTGTAGCTTCTTCGAGCATAACCGTATAGTTATCATCTCAACTCACTGAGTGCCATGATGATTCAATTTAAATATCAGGTTTGAGGTAAATTATATTATACGAGTATGAAGACATCTAGAAGTGGTGATGGTGCTGTACGAGAAACTTTTGTTGTATATTTATGAAAATGTAACCTCAGACTAATATGAGAATAATGTTAATGAAAAATTTATTTTCTCTGATAATAAGAAGTTTCCTAGAGAAAAGATGTGGAATGCACATCTCAAGCATTGTTGTATGGGGAAAAAATTAAAGCCAAATGACACAAGCGAAGAAGCGTTTTATTTACAAAACAGTAACTTGCAACCAGAGTAGAATTACTCTGAAAACTTTCATAATAATAATGATTTATAATAATTTATTACTTATATAGGGCAAAATACATGTGGATACGATCTAAACGCCTCTATACGTGAACATCGAATTATTCAACTAGAAGCGTTTGAAGAATATTTTTAGATTATCGACGTTTCCATGAACAAACTTCTGGTTAGTGATGCAGATCCTGGATGACCAGTGGGATAGAACATTACTTGTCCTGAATCAACCCCTTTTCATGGCCTTACTCTGTGGAAATGATATAAATATGCATGTATTATATTTTTTCTATCTCTAAAATCATCCTTTACCTTCCGTGATCTTAGACATAGTAGGAGGGTTATTAAATAACTGTCAAACTTGGAGAATCATAACTTCTGAAATATTTCCTGATGGCCCATTGTATTATGATCAATTACATGGGAAATCTGGAAGTGTAAGCTTATCACAATCTAATAAGAATTTTTGGTCATCTGGACTGATTGACTTTTTTTCCTCGACACAATTACATTCTAGAATATTTCCGGCGTTCCAAGTTTCGTAAAGTGTGTCCCACCATGTTACAGATTGCTTTGATCATAGATTATATACCTTTATTTTTCATATGATGTGCAGTTCAAATTGATATATTCATAATTTTTTATTAAACCCCACAGGTGGCCAATAGGACAGCTCTTGGAAACGAACACCTTGAAACCAGATCTCGAGCTGTTGATATTGTTGGACTCATTATTAAGATTCTCTTTTAGATGAGCTGGAATTGGTTATTACATTGTAGTGTCTGATGTTTACATCGTTGGGTAAAAGGTAAGGGCAGCTATCCTGTTGATTAATTTTAATTTAGCATTACATAGAAGAGATTGATTTAGGGATCTAGTCAACCCATGGAAAGATATAGAAGTTCGAAAATCAAAATAATTCCAGGAAGCGACCCTTCATGTCTTAGGCGAGGAAAACCCCAGCAAAGATCCTGGGAAGAATAATGTGTTGCCAACAAGACTGATCGTGATAACCATAGCGTGGTGTGTACCCCTTATTTTTGGCAACAGCAAAAGCGAGAGTTATAATGATGTATTCTATGGCTATCATAGCCTGTATCTCTATATTGTCAACTTTCATCAAATAACCCTCTTTCTCAAAGAGAGACAAGGATTGATTTATAAGTAATTTTTTTGCTCAGGAAATGACATTGCTGATAGAAACATAAGGAGGCGTAGAGGCACAAACTGAAATTTGTAGAACTCTTAAAACCATTTGGCTGTAAAGTTAACCTAACAGGTTATTGGTACCTAATGCAACTCCAGTATGAGAGACTTCAGTGTGAGTTCCAATACTCTATCAACTTGTGTGCTACATTTATCTGATAGCGCACAAAAGGGTTTCCTGCTCAAAGGGCTATGACAGTAAGTCAGACTGTTGATTCAAAATGTCCCCTACCGTATCTCTTCTTGTCCTAGAATGTACTCTCTAATTGCGGCTGCTTCATTCTAGAAATGGATAGATCGTAATCTGTCTTTACTTTCGTTGAACTTAGTTGGAAATCGAAAAATGAGAAAAAAAAAACATTTGTCACAGTCAGCCACAGTTCAAGTATTTGTTTTGGTTTGTTAGCCTGTTCTTGTATACTCACCTGGATTCTCAAAGTGGAGACGTCACGTGGGCAGTTTCTGGTTAAAAAAAAGTAGTTATATGACTTGGGGTTGAAATAAAGCAAAGAGGAAATGACTATGATTGCTAGTAGTTATTTCAATGCTTTTTAATCTTTGCTTCTATGGTTCAGCTGATATTTTAGTTGATGGTTTGTAAAATATTACAAGCACCTCATGGCATTCCTCGTACCAAACAAACGATGATTGGTAACCATGTGATTTGCTTAATGACTCACCATAGAGAAAGATGAGAACTATCCATAAGAATTAGCTTGTTGCTTTTGCTTTATTGACTGGAATAGGTCCGCTTTCATTATTTAAGGTAATCCTTATAACGTGGTCATGGTATTACGTAAGGAATATTCTCCAAGAAGGCGTGACACAAAATACGATAGCCAACTAAAAACTCATTACATCTTCGTGACATGGTGCTCGGACACAGAAAACATCACTGAGGACTTGATTAATGCAGAATACCCTGTATATCGAAGTTTCCCTAACCTCATTTGCTGTTGGGGTAGTATATGTCTTCTTATTATGACTGCTCCGTCCTAGGTAAAAAAAATAATTCAATCGTTTATTAGATTGTGTAGATGCTGCAAACGAAAATCACTTCTTTGTACTGTGCTTTTGATTGCACCTCTGTTATGAGCTCACAGATGTGTAGATCACATCACTGAAAGCTATGAGTTTACCTCAGTTGTTAGGGTCATGATTGACAACACTGCTATTACACTATCATACTCACGTGGACTGTTAAAATGGAGACATCTGAATGGTTCCTGGAAAAGTATTACAAAACGGTATTAGCTTTCGTTTTGTTCAGGAGTTGCGTAAAGTAATAGTGAATGAGTTTAGCTTTGAAATGTTTTACTCAAATTATGCTCACTTTGTTGTCTCGAATAGTGGTTTCGAAAGAACACAAACTCGCCGTAGGTCTATGATATCGTTACATCATCAAATAATGTATTATTGCATGCAGAACGCATGGTGGGTCAAACTTTCCAAGAAGATAAAAACTTTTGCTGAGGCAGATAACCACGAAACCTTCTACGAGGCTCTGTAAGCTACCTAAAGGTTACCCTCCCAGTCACAGAGCCCACTCAGCAGTATGGACGACCAAGAAGTTTTGGAGACACCCCACCTTTCATCTCAACAGTACACAATAGTAAACCATGCAAATAATACACCCCACCTTATTTTTTATAAGGTGAAAGTGTTCTTTCATCTGTTCCTGATAGTAGATTGCAGTATTGTCGACTGATGAAGTTGGTGATGCCCCTCCCCCAAGAAATCATTTTTGTACCCACAGTTGTTCTGTTTGAGCTGAAAGCCGCACATCAGGTTTTAGTTACACCATGGTGACCAAAGTAAAAAAAAAAAAGGAAAAGAAGTGGATAGCAGGCTGGTAAAAGCAAACACTGTCTCATATACTTTTAGAAAGGATCGGGGGAGACAATGATCTCAGAGCAAGCAAGGTAACCTTACAAAATGCTGGAAGGATACCCTCAAGCAAACACTCAATATAGACCAGCGACATCAGAAGCTATAGCTCGTTGAGCATCATAGAGTTAAAAGATCCTCAAGGACACTGAATTTTGAATAAACATATACCGTCAACTTCAAGGAAATTGACTTAGGAGGAAGAACTGACTCACTCTAAACAACCCGACCAGAATTACAACTGTGTCCCTTACCAAGGACAAAGTCTGTCATATATCGGGCCCAGCAGCCACATGCGAACCTCCAAACAATGAAATCCCGTCTTTTATTAAAACGTAGTATGTGAAATCAGGCTAAGATTATAATCATTGTTATTATTTGCATATCTGACAGAGATAGTCTCACCTAAGCAGTTGAGGCTGCCTTTGTCGCACGTGTCGCCTTATAAGAGCTGTTTCCTCCTATGAAGAAGAAAGAAATGTTTTATCCTTGATTTATTTACTTTGTGCTGAAATTGGTGGAAAATTATTGGAAAATGAGGCTCTTCCTCCGAAAAGAACAATTTCAACAGTGCAAAGAAAAAGGAATCTAGCATATGTACCTGAACAGTTAAAAGGGAGACAGCAGTGCAATCCCTGAAGAGAAAAAAGCGTTAAAACAATTTATAGAGGAACAAATAAAGGATTTGCCTACTAAAAGAATGTAATCATAAGAACTTTGGCTAATTTATCCCACTAAAGATAGCTTTAAGGACGTCCGTGGTTTCTTTTTAGTCAAACTTGCCTGTATTTCACCGCTTGGGGCAGTATGCCGTGAACGTCTTAAAAGCTGCTGTTGCATAGAAACTGTACAAGATACGCAAAGGTTACCAAAGGTCTTGTAACCTTTAGTTGAACCTATCTCCCGGAAATTTTTAAAGCTGGTCTAGAAGGCCTGTGCTTCTGAGGGCAACTCTGGTTGTGAAATCCAAACAATGATAATACTCCACCTTCCTTACACTCCACCTTAAAACTTCTTCTATTAAACAAAAGCTGCTAATTAAATTACTGCAGCATGCAGACTCTCTACTCGCAGTTTCCTTACCTCATCTGTTGTTGTCCATGAATGTGTCCTCTGATGGCAGCTGCTTCATTCTTGAAAGAGATAAATTATGTTATATCAACACTTTAGTCTTAGCTAAGTTTAGTTATGTAAAGAGACTTTTCCAGACTAGGCAGCTTCTTTGAGACGTGAGGGTTAACTCAAAAATGATGAATAATGCTAAATATTTACCGAATTCAGTTGAGCTGTTATTGGCCAACTTACTGTGGGTTGAGGATGAGACGAAAAGTATTGGTTTCGATTTTACTCTCTCGAGGAGTGTAAAGAAGTTAGCGCAATAAGGAACTCCATCAGTTTGAGATTAGCTTAACGTAAGGTTTTTTGTAAAGTAATAGATATATACAATGCTATCAACAAATGATTTTTGAATACTCACGTGCACTTCAAAATCGGAGACATGACAGTAGTTCCTGGAAAAATACCAAAAAACCGTTAAGTTTTCATGTTAATTATGAATTTTGAAAAGGGAAGATGAAGGAGTTTAATGTGGCATCTTTCCTTTGAACTCTGCCTTTTTTTAACCTTGCTGATTGTAGTGCCGAGTGTTAATGCTGAATTGACTTCTAGTAGTCTTGCTTTATCAGTCAGTTCAGGTTTAGGGTAATGTTTCATGTATTAGTTGGTAATAGAAGTACATATTGAAGACAACATAAAACCACTAGTTTGTTCTTCTTTGTTATGGGATTTGAACGAAAAACAATCTAGAAGTAGCAACTGAGGTTGTTTGATATACTCATACCTAAAATTCCGTTCTGCCAGCACACACCGTCTGGGAACATGGGCACAATCCTAGAGTTAAGACAGAAGTCTCTCAGTCTTAATAAAAGGTGCATCGTGGAGGTTGAAAGAAACAGATTCTCCTGATTCTTTGTTGGAAATTATGGGGCAGTAAGCTATTCAATTTATAATGTGGAATAGCTGTGTTTGGTTTTCAAGGTAGTTTATTGTCTCGTCAGTGTCATTAATGAGCAATGGTTTGAGACTCACATGTTCACTTGACGTGGAGACGTCATGTTGGGCCCTGAAAAATATCAGGGAAAGTGGTTAACATCTTTTATGCTTTTTCTATCGGGCTTAGCTTTTTTAGTAGATGAGATTTATTAGTAAACAGAAATTTTTATCAATGCTGCGTAGGCACTGGTCGTATGGTGTTGCTCTTTGGAACTAAGTTCTACAAACGTTTGCCAGCAATGACCACACGGTTGTAAAGGCAAGTGTTATGTACAACTGACTTACTCATTTCTGAGCTGGTGGTGTTGTTGAAGCACGTGTCTTCTAATACCAGTAGTCTCCCTCTAGTAGGAAAAAGACAGTTATAGTGATGGGGTTTACAGCCGTTTAACACTTCAAATTCAAAATGTCAAGTTTAGTTGCAAAAGTAAAGGGCAGACCAGGTAGTTGCTGAAATTAATTTTGTTTAATACTCACAAGGAGGTTGAAAATCCAGAGTCGGCTCCTAGCACGAAAAAATATTCACTGTTAATGTTGTGAAGGTACAATAATGGCTGTTTTTCCGTTTGTTTATGAACCCCCTTTCTACCTACATTGTAAGCTGTTCCATCTGCAGGCGCTCTCTTTCTTCTTGGGCCTCATACTTCTGATAAAAAGTAAACAATTCGTCTTTAAAGAATACTTCATGTGATTCGACAAAAGCATATGAGTCACAAGCATGTTATTAGGATTGAAAGTAGGTTTTATGCTCAAATTGGTAGTCGTCTCACCTCAGCATTTCGGTGGCCAAAGACATCTCCATTTTCCGGCATTTTCGCGGTCGATTGTGGGGGGGATTCAAGGATAGTAAAACACTAAGATCGTTTGAAGAATCGAAGAGGTGTTTTCGTATCGAGTTTCTGAAAAACAAAATGTCTTCTTAACCTTTCTTAACGCTTCACTTTCAAAGAATACTGGGTACTAGTCACGTGTTTCATTACCTTGTTAAATCGATGTTAAATCGGTTCTGTCGCTCGAAGACATCTCGAAGGCGAAGATTGACTTCGGTCGTTGGCCCCTTTGTATTGAAATCACAGATCACTTTAGATGGATAGTCCTGGAATGTCGTTAGTTTAACAACGTCTTTTAGAAATCAAGTCAGGTACTCTTTAAAGAAGCTGACAGAGATGTTTTTCCTTACTTGTCTTTGAAGATTTTTAAAAATTGTCATCGCTTGGTTGGCTCCCAGGTCATGGCTTGTTCCCTTGAGAAGCGAATGTTGTTCTTTTTCTGGATCCATTTTCGTCAGTATTAATACCAGACAAAACTCGATTATTCTCATTTCCATCCCTCTTCTGCAATGTGCGTTAGAGCAAGAGAAGTTAGGAATTGGTAGCCGATGCGATGTGATCAGGGAAAATCAAAAGAAACTGTTAGCGCAACAGGATGCTCAATTGACGGTGATTCTGGCATGTGATCACGGTTGGGTCTTATGATTACCCATTGTTATTTAGATGATGAGGTCACGTCCTAGCGCAAAGATTGACAAGGATAATACTAGAAGGCTGTTTAGGCAAGAACAACACAGCGTTGTTTTCCTTCTCGTAAATCTTAAGTTAGGAAGTAAGAGTTTGTGACCTCAAAGTGAAATACGTCGGTTTCCAGGCCTCACTTCAATGGTTGAATACTGAGTCATAAACGAAATGTATGAATAACAGCCTAGTCGTACTTTTCACATTCCGTTTTGCAAGACTGCTTCACCTTGACCGTTTCTTAGACTGAAGCTGCTAAATCAATTATTTGACATATCAACGCGCTTGGAACATGCAACCGGACGCGCGTGGTGACCTATGGTCGCGATACTTAAAAATATCTCTTTGTCGGCAGGGAAAGGGAATTTTTGGGTCGCGCCGCGTTACAAAGAAGTCTGTGTGCGTCATTAAGCTTTCCGTCTTGACTTCCTAAATCTGACTTAAGGCAAATTTTGATCCTTTTATCCCTTATTGACCCATAGCTTATTTTCTATGAGTTCTTTTTCATAATTGAAAATGAAAAACAAGTGTGTGTTATGAAAGTGAGACCATAAAAAAGTTTGGTGACGTTCAACTAGTCGTTCTTCATCATAGGGTAATTGAGGACGAAAGTTATGCCCTTCTTAGTGGTTTTGTCTTGCAAGAGTAGGAGTTGATAGACGGCTGCTTTAGGGATGGGTCGTGGCTTCTTGAGATGGGTAGTACTATGATTTGCGCTCTAGGGTACGAACGGGCTGGATGTCAATAAGAGTAGGTGGAGAAACGAAGTAACGAAAAAGAGCTTTCACCACTAGATTTCGGAAATCGGCTCGGATCAATAAGTGGGTCAACTCGAAATAAATGCACTTGCCACAAAAAACTGTTAGCATTGCCAAAGATAAGAACAATCAGCTTTATGTCCCCAGCCAAGCATCTTGGCCCAATTGATTCCTTGCAATCGCTCCCAGCTATTCAACTCGAAAAAAGGCCCGGTGTTCTAGTGAGGGAAGTTTAAAATGGTTTGAAAAGCATACACTTATGTAATAGATTTAGGGATGACTTGCTTATTAAGGAGGGTAGGCGCGAAGCGCTCGTTTAAGCACTGAACACCTCCGCAAAGCTTGAAGTGATTTTGATAACACCAGTTGATCTGACCACTTAAGCCTGCAAAACCCCATTTGAGTTAACATAGGCCGTGTTTGGTCGTAGCATCAAACACGACCCCTAAACAGTGAGGTCTTTTTCTTTCCCATTTGTTCCGTTTGACGGAGGTGAAAGCATAGATTCAGTCCTTATTTGTTGCATAACTTCCTGTGGCCTACCACATTTTTGTTTTTGGTTAGGGTGAAGTCATGCCAGTAGATGACTATCACATTATGCCAGTTCTTATTTGGGGTTAAGGCAAGTTGCCGAAAGAGCTAGGCTCAAGAACGTACCTTAGTTCCATGAATAGGCAAAGAAGCCCAAATCAAAATGGATGCGATATTGCATTTGCGTAATATTAACTTTCTTTCTTTTCTTCGTCTGTTTCCAGTCTGCTACCGCAAGGAGTTAGGTTAGAGTCAAGAAAACCTTCTCTCGTGGAACCCATTTTATGGAAACCTTCCATGCTAGGTAAGGTACAATGCTGCTTGTTACTCAGCCTATGCTAATGTTTCAGCTATTTCACACGTAACATTTCTAAGCTTTAGAGAATGTTGAGTGTAAGACACATTAAATACCGATGTATTTCACGGTTATAGGATTGGATGGCAATTATACAAGTGATTGGCGAACGGCTATGAAGCGGGAGCAAGATCAAAAACAGAAATTTACATTACCAAGAGCTAATACCAATTGCTCAAAACTATGAGTTTCCAAAACGCTCAAAACTATTTCACATGATAAAAAAATAGGGATGGCTTTTTCCAACTGAAAATAAGCTAAATCTTTTTGGTGTCCGCACTCTAAATGGTGCCCATTGTCTTATTACGTTCGCATGATGGATCAGTGACACATTTCTCTTTTCAGTTACAAACATGACGCGTACGATTTCTTATTGGTGCTTTAATCGAGCCGATATTTGATAACCAATCCCGTGTGGGAGGATATATATATATATATAGTTTTGATCAATGTTGTAAACAAAAGGTACCGTAAGTTGATGCCCTGATAAATCTGAAGCGAAATGATGATACATAAATTTTTTTTCTTTTTCTTATCTCTTTCTCAGCTTATTTTTTAAGATAGGGAGTTTATTCCTCTTCCTTTATTTCTTTATAATTCTAAATATGATTTTTTTTTAATCTGTATACGAGGTGGGTAGTGTTTAGGGAAACTTTTGTGCTGCGTCGACGACTTTGGGAAACACGTAATCGGAACGCGAAGTTCAGAGCGTCAGCTTTTCCCAAATGTCACGGCAGTTTACCTACTTATATCAGCATATAGTTAATAATCAACTCAATCTGTACAAGCAATAACCAATCCTGCATGCCATTATTATCGATCCACGCCGGTTAGGGTGATGCGAAGTGAAGAAAATGAAGACTCTACGACACAGTTCATATGTCACTAAGTGCGTTATTTTAAGACTTGTTTTTAATCATCATTAAATGAAATATGTGTAACTTGGACTATGACAAGTAATGTAAAATATTGCAACGACAAACAGGGTCATTTCGGCAGTTATAACTTGCCCCCCCCCCCCCCTCCAAGATGATTGTCAATCTCTTTTTCATTATAATGGTGTTGGCTCAGATCATTAATTTTTAACATAGCTGTTGGTGGCTTGAATGTTCTTGGAAGCCTTCTTCGCCACCACGGGACGAGATTGTATGGTGTAGTGTATGTAAGGTTTCCAGATCCTAAGTTTGTAGGGTGATGATGTTACTGCTTGTTCTTTAAAACTCTCCAAGGAGAGGTTAGCAATAACAGCGGAAACCGGACTTCCCACAGCTACCTCTTCTCTCTGTTCGTAAATTGATGCATTTTATCATAAATACCTAGATGTCGGTAGATCGTAGATTCTAGGCGGCTGTTTGTGTCGTGGTCTGATCTTGTTGTTGAAGGCCTCTGATAGATATCCGCTTCGTTTCAAGGTAAGCAGTATCTCAGACACTTTCTTAGTCAGACCTTCTGTTGAACCTTTGTTCAAGCGCTAATACGGTTCATTTTCGATCAGAGAGGACATCTTAGCCTAATGGGTGTCGGCGTCTAAGGCTACGTCAGCACGTCTTTTGTCTGCGGGTAGTACCTTGATGGATTGGTCCTACATATCTTTCGTGGTGTTAGGCTCCGGTGGTTTTGTGTATTGAAGGATTCCGTAAACAGCTCTCCTGGCAGTGTCTGCTTATTCGGGTTCGAGTGGTCTGATCGCTGCTTCAACCTTGGCAGTAATTTCAGTAGCAGGTCGTTGTCGGGAGTAAGCAAAGTTTAGGCCTTTCTTTATTTTCTATACTCTCTTTTGAGAGTGCAATTTAAAAGCTGCAACGAAGAACCTTTACCTCTCTCAGTTCGTACCTTTACCACTCTCACTGAGTACCTCAAGCTCTTTCTACCAGCTCCTTTAGGCATGAAAGATATTTCTTACTTAATGAGGCGAATTCTTGCCGTGTGTTATGAAAGGGACAATGTACCAACCAGTAAAATAGGAGCTGTTCGTCACGCAGTTTTTATGGGGGTAAGAAATCTTTTATATTCTTCACCTTATTGAGTCTGAGATTATCAAATTTTCGCACCTCGTTAGCATGCACCTCCCCCACAAAATTTCTTTAAAATTTTCAGAAAGCTTTATCTGGGTCGGATTATCGCACTTTAAATTTTTATTTTACCGTTTGACGCATGACTCGAAGCTCATCTGTTTTCGTAGTTGCCATTTAACGACCTTGAATTTTAAAATGGTTGCCACTAATAAATTATAGCTTCCTGAAGACAAAAATGGGAAAGGGACAATTTTAGCGTTCTTGAAACCTCCCCAAGTGATACCTCATAATATTTATGAAAAATGTATTCAAAGTTCCCTCCACATTCGTTTCTTAAAGGGAAAAAAATAACATAACTCAACCGAGATTTGTTGTTGCGAGAATTTTTGTTATATCAGTCTGTTATTTATTAGAAATGAAAACGTTTTTGCATTGCCATGAAAATATTCTTAAACTCCAATTGTGTTTATGAACATGCACATCAAAAAATTTATTTACTTTATAGCGTAAGACCTTCGAGGACGGGGTCCTACTTGCGTTTTCATTGTGTGCATAGAGTTCTTTTCTGGCGATATTATACTACTTGTGTAAACTGACTCCGATTGATGTAGACAATGATAATCGACACATTCGTTGGTTGAGTGTTACTTTATTCTCAAAGAAATTCGCCGTGAGTTGACCAACATCATCAAAAATTACTCACGAAATTATTACTGTCTTTTACTTCTTAAGAAATTTTCTTCAACGAAACGTCCCTCTTTTTAAATAGATAAATGAAAAAAAAAATAAATTAAATTAAATTAAAATAAATGAGTATATTCAATTTTCAGAGTGTTGGAGCAAAATGCGTAAATCCAACTAGCCTCGTCACCCTTTAACTCTCAGAAGAACGTGAAGTTTTAATCTTGATCTAGCATCAAATTCCCGTAGCCTATTTTCAAGGAAATGTATAGCAGCTAGAGCGGAGGATTAACCATCACATCTTTGGAGTTTAAGGGTTAACTTTATAACTAACGCAACTCTTTTTAAATAAATAGACATTAAGCTTTCAAAGTTTACGATGGGATTAACACCAACAATTTTTAAGTAGTAATAAGGATTTCGCTATAATTCATCTGGTATCTGCGAAAGGAAAAAAAGGATAAGAGCTCTGCTAACAAAATGATAAGTAATGGTAATAGCACTAAGTGGTGTCCAGTTCGGTCTGTAGTCTAACGAGCGATTAAAAAAATCGGACGACCGCGCAGCGACAGTCTGATTCGTTTATCAGGGGTGTGATTACAGAACGAATTGGCCGCTGCTAATTAATCGTAAAAAATTACAATTTCCGAGAAAAGACTTACAGCCAACTTATGAAAGAAAGGGAAATTTTGCATTAACAGACTGACAAAAGAGGCGTAAATTCTTTAATGGTTGTGATTGTTTGATTTAAGCTACAAATTTGAATGTGAGTGGTTGATTTAAAAACAATTTTGAATGAGATCAGCTTATTGAACTGTCCGATAACAAACTGGCCTATAACAACTTGGCAAGTAAATTAGTGGAGTTTCTTTTAACCAATCACAATCTAGGAGATTGTAATTTTTATGATTAAGTAATATATTATTATCGATCAACTGCGCGAAGAAACTATTCGAAGGCAAGTTCTGAGGTTTATTACAAAATTCATTTTAATCGCAATTTTAAATGGAGTTATTTTGAAAGCTACGTGATGTTGCTGTTGTCACTTTTCAATCCGTTGTTATTTGACGAATCTGAATGGAAGTGTTTCGAAAGAAAAGAAATGAATTAGCTCCATTTACTTATATGAATGCAAGTGTTCCGTTAAATAATCCTGAGGGAAAAGAAAAACATAAGTAACTTACATATGATGGCCATTCTTGATCTTGCACAATGCCTCTGTTCAGTAAAAAAAATGAGTGGATAAATGAAAAAGAGAGAGAAATCCTTAAAGTTTACAAAAATGTACTTTCCTTGGACGTTACATTTGGTATTGTTTGACACAGATAAACACAAATATCATATTTATTCAAACCAGTAACACGGGTAGGCTAGGTAGTATGTGTAAGTATTTCAGGTATTTCAATTACTCTGTAGGCGTTACAAAGTTTTGTTACCACGCCAGTGATATTGACTGCGCAGCACTGTTTCTTCCTTGCTTCCTTTCTGACTAACGCTCAAAATACTTGCGCACAGCTCGGTCGCACGCAAACTGGGTTCCACATTTACAGTGGTTCAAGGCGTTCCTCACTACCTATGTCTTTCATCGTGCGCTATGGTTGTCCACGTTTCCTTTTCATTTATTATTTATATGGCGTTTGTGCTCAGCATGACTAGTCCCATAGAGGCGGGCATAAAGGAAGACCAAGGATGTGTGTTCTTTTGATGATAGTCAGTAGGGGTCCAGCAGCGAGGCCAATATTATTGGTGGTAAGCTTAAGGACTCACGAGCATATGAGGAAGGGAAAAGTGTACCAAATTCTGATGTTATTTGGGAAATGGTAGCTGATACTTTTGCCAAGCCAGGCAATGCAAATGTCCTTCTAATTAGGGAGTGAAAAAAAGGCCTGTCTGAATGGCTGGCAAAAAGATTTATTTCCGGATTCTTGACTGACCGAAGAAAACAGATATTGATGGAAGGCAAAAGAACACGTTAGCACAAAGTGGTTTTATGCTGTTTCCCTTATGCGCCAAAGGAAGGCAACACGCGACCAAACCCAGGAGAGACACATGGGCTTTACAACCAGTCAGAGAGTCAGCAGAGATCTTTCATCTTGTCATCAAAAATAACTTGAATAGCAAACTGTCGATTAACTTTTGTGATGAACTGAAACTCTCTTAGAGTAAATACCTTGATCAAAAATGCTGTTTCAGTGCACAATACGTCAGAACCCCTTGTCTGTGCAAATCTCGACAAATAAAAGTCAAAAAGGGGCGGCTGGTGGAACTAATGACGAAGGAGATTTGGTCCCTTCTTTCAAAGGGGCTGAGTGTCTTGCCCCTAAAAGTTTATGACAACGATCTTTATTGTGGAGAAAAGAATGGGGTTGGAGATTGTTCAATACCTTGCTCCTTACAATTTATGTCAACGATCGTCCCGGTGGGGTAAGGATTGGAGACAAGTTTTGCCTCATGATCAACTTTAAAAAAGTCAGATGATTTCGTCTTAGGGAGAAGTTCAAAATAGAGGGACTCCATGTTACTCCATCTCTTCTCCAGAAGGGCAAGAGTATGATAAACTTCCACGTCGAGGCTGCCTGCCGTGCAGTTTCTGTACACGAAGAGCCATGGAAATCCCTGCTTCCAACTCAGTGGAACAACATTCAAATCCTGTGGCCTTTCACTGGCCACACCCATCTTCATCAGAATCAACGGTCCTATCGTGGCAAAATTGTGCCAACAAGAAATGGGAAAGGTCGTCAATTTTTGGAGACTGTTCTCCAGCCCATGTATGGTCAAGCTCAATTAACACCCTTCAACACTTTCTCTTCAACAAGTCTTTATGGGTGTTGTATTAAACAGAGCTGAAATGTCTTCTTCCCTGCCAGAGGAACACATCTTTTAGACACAGGGAGGATACCAGGAAGTGCTCGTATTCTGAGTACAATGATAAGGGAGCTGTTAGATTATTAATCACATTAGTCGTGTGGACTGGGCAGGACAGTGGTGGCTCTTCCTCATTAGACAGCCGTGCAATATCAGTAGACCCTACTACTGACTCCAACGTGGTTGGTGTCCCAAGAGCTGCACTCCCACATCAGTCAAGACATCACACCATCGTGTCCTTTTCATCCTTGCAAAGTTTTCTGCAACCTACAAGAGCTCGAAAATTGCGGTACGTGGAAGCCTAGAGGAGGCAACAGCTCATGAGCTGTTCAGAATTTAGAGCTGAAATTCTCACCTTAAAGTTGGTTGTGGTAGAGAGAATCGGTTTCCACCATTTTTTCTTGGCTAATACCAAGGGAACAACATTACAGCTGCCTGGTAGAACAAGATGGGGCCGCTCAGTAACCTACCTTGACCTCGCTGGCCTAGGAGCTTTGCTCCTTGTTGCTGAAAAGACGCTCGTGGGTAACGGCTTGTCAATTATAAATAGTGCTGAGTGGGGACGATATTGAGCCTGTGGGTGGGTTGGTAGATAATTCACTCCAGGCTCAAAGTGGATTCTTTTTCTAGAGAGACATACCATTTTAATGTTATCTTCCAGAGAAAGATCTTTTCCTTCTACGCTTCAACCGTGAGGTGTCTATTAGGTGTTCCATTCTGATCCCACTGTTTCAGCAGTTGCAACTAGATTGGCATCAATGGAAGAGTTTTATCCACTCTTTAATTCGCAGATTGGCCTATATTTTGCCAGGCTATCATCCAGCAAAAGTGAATATTTTCCTTTCAGGATAGGGGTGTCATCAAAAAGTGATTCGAGGGTCACACCCAGCATTACTGATGTCTCGACCTTCTTGGCAAAGGCATCAAGTGGCAGGTTCTTGGGGTATGGGATGCAGGCAGATTGCAATTCTGCCATATCACAGGGACATCTGGCAGTTGGCCAGACTAGGCTTGAAGATCTTTCACTGATGGCTCATCATGGCAGATGACTTAAAGGTACCGAGGCGGAATAACAGAATGATCTCCCTGCTTACTCAGACATTTTCAAAATTTGTGTTTTTAAGACATTTCAGGAGTATCGGGACAAGAGGAAATCCTCTCACCTCTTGATGTCTGATCTAAGACCTTTTAATCACATATCAACTCAGAATATGTCTACAAACTGCATAAGGAAGGCTTTGGAGCTAGTAGAGGTTGCTTGCCACTTCATAAGGTACTCTTGCCCTTACTGTCTTTTTTTTTTCTGCTTCAGCTCGTGCTCACTTTACAAAATGCTCTTGTGGCAGCGGACTGGTCACAGAGAAATTTTAAAGTGCTTTTACTAGATATCACTGGTCAAAGGGATTATTGAAGGGCAGTACTTACTGTTCTGCCCAATCATCGGTGACCAGGTAACTTCTGCAAAGCTTTATTCGTGTGAAGGACACACCTTAATATTCAGTGACTTACCTGCTTACCTTATATGGGCTCAGTTGTACCCATATCATGCTTCATGTTAATCTTGGTTGTCATAATAGTTTAACTGGAGCTCAGCTTAACATGACTCCTAGCATTTTTTTTGTTCTTTTTTTGGTTTTTTGTTTTTTTTGTTTTCGTTTTTTGTATTTTGTAGTTTGTGTTGTTGTTTTCAATTGGACACTATTGATACATTCATATTATTATTAATATTATTATTATTTACGCTATGCTTTTTCATTTCAATATTATGCTGTGCTGAGTAGTTTAAGAATGGTATTCAAGATATATAATCACCTGTTTGGAGAATAGTGAATTTCAAGAGACATTTCCGTAATCCCAACATATGGTCCCCACATGTACACTTGAAGTATCTGAAATTGTATTGTAACCTACCAGTATAAAAACATTGAAGGGATTAGCTCTTGATTACGCATATTGATAGTGTTTTTCATTTATATATCAACCTTTATGTGACTGTATCCAGATGAAATTAGAAAATTAGTCACTGATTGTAGAATTAGATTTTCAGATTCAGTTACACTCGTTAAGATTATACATAATTGTCGTTAATAAGCAATAACCAAGGCTTATATTGATGATGATTGCAATTATTGTGGTTGTAGGACCCAGTCTTGCTTTTAAAAAAATTATTTCAAGAGCCTTTATATGCGAATATTAATGTTTTCTCCTTTTTTATTCAGCATAACCATTTTTATTATTAGTGTTTTTATTGTTATTTACACCTTTTGTTAGGTTTGTGTTCTCCATTGATGAATTTGTTCATTCAACGAATGACATGACGTAATACATATTGACTTCCTACTGAAAATAAAGGGCAAGAGGAAAGTTGTAATGATCAGGCCTGGTTATTTACCAGATAAGGGAGGGAAAGTGAAAAAATTTGTCTGACATTTGCTTTAAGAACTAATTTCCTGTCCTCAGCTTTTTGGAATAGGGGAGGTTATGTATCTCTTGATCCAAAATGAGAACTAACCTAATTTTACTTTGTAGAATTGTGACATTTATGATCATTTTAAGCGAGCTAAGGTTATGATCTTTTTATTTTAATCTAAAGCAGAAACAATGTAAATAGTAAGTAACAACTTCACTTAGAGAGGTTAACACATGACAGTATAACCGATAAACTAGTAGCCTTCAATGTAAAGCATGACTACTTCTCTATTTTACGTGAATTTGGACATGTATTTAGACCTTTCATATTTTGAATGTAAAGCATATCATATGTGGTTTAACAGTAGCAGACAGTCCTAGCAGTAGTTGAATGATTTCCATACCAAATGAACTCCTGCATAGCCTTGCACAAAACTCAAGCTGTTGGAACAAAAAGATGTTATCAGGCATTGGATTGAGTTATTCCTAATTGAAAGAGAAATTTATAGAGTGTTACATTGGAATGTAACTTGGCTATCTTTTTTCCTAAGTGAATTAATAAGGTTACAGTTGATACAAATTCAAGAAGATTAATTAAAGGAGATTGGTTACCTTAACCTGAACTGCAGGAAGGGTGTGATCACTCCTGGTTCGTAACTTGAAAGCAGTATCTCATAATGTAGCTCAAACTAAAAGAGAGAAAAATATTGTGAGTTCACCGATGTAGCACAAGTCCCACTCTTGATGAATTGACATACTTACAATGTTTTCTTGCCATTCCATCTCCGGATGCTCTCCGAACTACACCAAACAAAAGAAATTATTTTTCATTAGTTCCATTCATTGTGCTTTTGCTCGTTCGTTCCGATGCATTTTGATGTCTTTCCAGTTGTAAACTATGTTTACAATTAGAGAAAGATGCTTATTTCGTCTTGTCACGAGCGTGGGACAAAGAGAAAATTTTGCTCCGATGCTCTAACCACTGAGTTACAGAGTCTCCACGGTGAGCGAGGTTTATTACGAAGTCCATATGACACACGTCCTGCATACTGCTAGGATCAGTAATGTCGATAGCGTAATGTTTGTTTATAGAAATAAGAGAGATGGTAAGTTTTGAGCTCGGTAAAAAATTATAGAGAGATGCCCTTCTCGTCTTGTCACGAGCGTGGGACAAAGAAAAAAATTCTGAGTCCCAATGAGTAATCTAACTTCAGACCTTCGGATTCCGCGCTCCGATGTTCTGAGCCACAGAGACTTCCCACCAAACTTACGCAATGCTGGGTGAAAATCGTTTGCAGGAAGAAAATTATCTTTTTAACCAACCTTATTTCTTGCCCACAGGTCTCAATGACAAATCATGAATAATTACAGAGCCTGCAGTGTGCTCGCCGCTGACATAATTTCACTTTAGGACAAGGGAGGGGAGGGTAGGGGAGGGTAGTTTTGATTTGAATCTTAGAGACACACTTGAAGCAGACTGCTATTTGTCCTAGTCCCTTTTAGTTTGCTTGTCCCTCAATGAAGAGGAAAGGGCTCTCTTCAATTAAATACGTTTACTCAGCAGATCGTTTTAATAACTCTTTTAAGGCGAAGAAGCACATATTTGCAAAGCAGAGTCTCGACTTACCTTTTTTTGAACGAGTTTCCCTCAACATTTGTGTGTGGATGATCCTAGACTCTGCCATTGTGAGGGTTACTGAATTGGTATGTCCTTACGTTTCACAATCTTAGTGTGTCTAACTTGGTAGGTTTGTTAGAGTAACTCGTCAGGCACTGTTCAACTCCATTGCATCACGCTTCTTTTACTCCTCAAGTTTACAGCGATGAAATTGATCTTCAATACATTTTGAAAGCAGAGTGAAATGATACTTCTATTCTCCAAGCTCATGATAATAGTTGGTATGGTGAAAACCAATCAAAGTAAAATACTCGCGTGCGTGTTAAAGCAAAATGCTAATCTTGTTATCCTTCAGGAACAGGATGCGACAAATGAGAAAGCAGACAACCATGACGTTTGTAATTCAAGTATCAAAGGGGCAGCCAGTAACTGAGGCAATTGTATGACTTGGTGTTTGCTTTTGTCCTATATATGGAAATGTTTGGCTTGGGCTGTAGGCATCTAAGTGCTAATCGTCAAACTGTCAAATTGATGATAATGAACTATGGAGTCTTAAGGGTGATTAGATACATCTGTATTGAATCAGTTCCTAGGAGATTTGTTGAAATAAGTCTTTGCAAAGTTATTTGCAATTGAATCTAATTAAATGTATGGAACGTTCTAGAAGCCTGTCTGAAGGTGACATATTAGAATCCGTCTATGACAAGGTTAAATGTCATCCGCATGAGACGGCGCATGATTTAACCATCGAATTTTGAAACCGTACTAACGTCTTATTTTTATTCTTGAACTTTTGGCCCAAAAGCGGAAAATGCGCTCTAGCAATCTAGGACATGCTACCCTTGATCGAACAGTTTGCTTAGAAATTTTACCTCACATGTCTCTCACGTTCTGTTTTGCTTAAAAATACAGTTCAAAGGAGAATATGCGGTAAAATCGATTGACCAAAACCTAGAACTGTTGTTTCTAGTGTTAAATACGTACTTTTATCTGCGGGGTATCGCTCAGTGTGGGTTTGTGAATAAAGCTATTATTAGTCGATTGCTACGATCAATATAATCGAGTGTTTTTCCGCTTGACCTCGATAATAGCTTGACTATTTCAGTCACTGTCTCTCCCATCGACGAATTTTTAAGCTTCATCTTCTCATCAAGCTAGTTTCAACCTATCCCCTCTCCCCCACATAATGTACATTATGCACTATGAAACTTCTTAACGATAATCTCTGGACTTTGAAACAGCGAATTCCCAGAGTCGAAAAGCATATAATTACTCTCTTACTATCAAGAACCCAAACTTTACGATTGCCTAAAGTATTGTTATATCCGTTTGATATTTTTCCTTCCTTGATCAAGTCCGCTAAACCTGATCTTACTTTTTCTTTGTTTCTCGTACTTTTAATCGCACTTTGTTGCGGTCTTTTTTACAACGGGTTGTCTTTCGCATGGTCGGAAGCTGCTGAAAAATCTCCTCTTTTTCAAGCCTGACAATCCCGTGACTGGTTCTTGATCCCTCTTACAGGGAAAATAAACCTCTTTCCTGAGGGAAGGGCTAAGAGAGTGATCAGTGTTCCATTTATTGGCCATTGAATCATTTTCTTGGTTGATTTCATTGACTATTTGTCGATTTACATGTAAACAGTTGACCTGGGAATGATGCCAATGAATATCACTTCTTGGGCATCGAAGAGTAAGGTATTGGAATTCTATCAATAGTGTAGACCTAAGTCTCAAGGTCAGAGAATAACAAATACGTGTGAATGAGAAATCACAATGTAGCTAGTTATATTAAGCGAAAACTTCTCAAAGTTATTTCCATATCTCCTCTCGATTCAGTAAATTCAGGGTAGTGGCTTTGCGTCATGTTATACATATTTCCCTAAAGTTAGTTGAGATACGGAAAACACACAGTTAAATGTGTTTGTGTACTTTATTTATCTTTGCTCATATCAAATGCTCTTTCCATTAATTCATAATATATATATATATATACATGATTTAACATTATACTTTTTCAGGTATATATCTCTTAACTCCTTGAACCGATAAACCATAATTGGGAGGAACAATAATTGGGAGGAACCATTAAAAATAAATATTTACAAGGTACATAATATTAGCATTGTTGTCATGGCTTTAAATATCTTGATGTTTTTGTTTCAGTCCCGCTCTACTTTGCTTGGAGATGAAAGGACGTCCCTGAAGAAAAGAGAAAGGGGAAAATTTGGAGACAAAAGAAAAAATGTTTATTGCTGAATTGTTTTATTGCAGCATGTATCTGTAAGTTTTGTCTTTCTTTTTTGGTCAATTTACTTACTGTTTATTTATTTATTTTTGCATTCTCAGAACTGATTTCACCGGAGAATTAGGAATATTACTCTATGAGTGATTAAAGAAATCCTTTGGTTTTAATTAAGGCACAATATTTTGTAGCATTGTACCAAAATAGAGATTATTCCTCGTAGACACTTTGGTCAGTCTAAAACATTAAAATCTGAATATTGATTTATTTAAAATGTAATCTCCCAGGAAAATCAAAGTGTTCCTAACAAATCAAGGACCCTACTAGGTCTCGACCTCTCCGGTATGCGAAAGTAATGATCAAAAATTAACGCCAACGTCATTATTTATAGAGACTTTAAGATGGCTGATCGATGTGTTTGTAATTATATTGATATAATTTAAATAATCATCAAGCCTGGTACTTATCTGGTTTATGTTAATGTCTACTTTTTTCATTATTGTCAGGTAATCAGTGCAATAGTTTTGGTATTTCAGAAGGCTTTGTCAGAAGACTGGCTTGACCTTGAGAAAACCATATGAAATTGCTTTTAACCATGGTTTAGACATTTGACTTCATCAAATACTAAAAGGCTAAAAGGAATACAGTTGGCTAGAGGAAAAACAAGGGAAAACGAGATAGTTCAACATTTTTCCAGTAAGGAGACCTTAAACGACATGGAATCTTGTCGGTGATGTGGACTTACGCGCTTAAAGTTATTCCCACAGCCCTCAAATGAAAATAACACAAGATCATAGTAGGATGTATCCCATCTACCTCTCATTGATGATGGACGTCCACAAGAAGAACAATCTTTGGTTGTTTTATAAAACTTTTACTGGTATTTATTGCTTCATTTGATGACACAGGGATGTACACAGAAAGAGCGATGTTGAAGTAAAGTTATGCTACTCACCTTTATTGGTAGACGTTCATGCCATGTCAACTTTGTAACGAATGATCTCCATCTCATTCTTAAAAAAGAAACGGTAAACAAACTTGGTGTGTTTTGATTTTTTGGTAAAGTTCAACAACAGAGTAGGGATTTACTTCAAGAAACTGAATACAGGTGGAAGACAGAGAGTGATTGACATAGAGAAAATATACACGTGGATTAAGCACTACATATTGGAACGTGCATGAAACGTACCATAGTGGCTTGTAACATCCTCTCTTCCAACCTGTGAAAAGTATGAATATAGTTAATGGACTTGAATTGTTATCATGGTGAAGGGAATTCTTTTGGTGAGGTGAAGTGGAAAGTAGAAGCATGTTGTGTTAAGTATCATTGAGGATATTATATTCCCTTGCTGGAAGCTGGCTATGGTACTTGTGTAGAGCTGTGACGGAACATGATGTGCTGAACTTGATGTATTCATGATTGGCGAGAGTGACCGGTCAGTTAGTGCTCAGTTGTTCTTAGACTGAATTTTGTTTCATGGATGAGTTTCAGATACTTGACTGTTGGTTCTACTAGAGTCATTGACCCAAAATACATGTCAACAAGAGATATGATGCCCCTCAGATCTGGTGTCATTTCGAGAAGTGTTTGATTGGTAAACGTATGAGTCGTGGATTGGTTTGCTGTTTATCAGATGCAGTGCTTCCCGACAGGTTCTGTTGATACTCAGCTGAAATCATTTCACGCTTAGGGTTGATTCCAAAGTATTACAAATGAGTCATTTTAGATATATTTAGTGAAATGAATGTTGAGAAGTGATATTATACTCAGTTGCAGTAACTACAGGCAGTGTTTTGTTATGAACCAGTATCATGAAGTGATTTGGTACTCAAGTGCAATACTGCGAGGCAATACTTGATGAATGAGTTAGTGCTCAGAGAAAGTATGTTCAAGTGTTGGTAGAGCCACAACTCGGCTTACTTCCAAAGAGGGAGGCTGAGACTATTTGGTCTTTAATAGGGGAGAGTTACATGATTCTGAGCGGGTATACAGGTAGGAATAATGATTTCAAAAAACATTTCAGCATACCTTCTCTTTGGGGAATCCTTCATTACCATGTAGCGTATTGCAATCATCTCCCACTAAGAAAGATAAATATTCTGAAATGGTGATTTATGCATGGTTATGAATGGATACTGTTACACAGAGTGTTGAACCGCATGTTTGAGAAAACAGTGACATTGATGAAATACTTACAGAGGACTTTTCCACCATTTTGTTTTGGTCACTAGTATAAGAAATAAAAACACAAGATTAGTGTAGGGAATTGAAATGATACGATGTTGTCATGAAAGATTGAGGAGAAAATCACCTGGAGATCGACAAGTTACAGGTCTTCTCTCCAACAGTTAATCATGTTATTCATAATATAACCCTAAAAGTGGGATACTATCAAACAATAGGAAAAATTAAGTGTGCCATGGAAAATCTGAGTGTAAAATTTGTTTTGGTTTAAAGGTAGTAAACTAGTAAGTTTCCTATCAACCCCAAACATTACCACCAACACCAATCCCTTTCATTGTGCCTAATTTCTTTTCAAAGTACATATGAGGCTGATTTGTTTGTATTTGACCCTACAAAAACGTTAATAATGGGTATCAGCTTCTACCCCCTCTAAAATGTGCACATGAAAATAAAGAACTCGTCTAACTAACGCTTATTACACGGTATATTGATATATATTCACATAAGTACTTCGTTAACTCTTACCTTGTTACATATTCTCGAATTTTTGATGTCTGTGCCTGCAAGACAATTTGCTTTATTTTTTAAACCGACTTTAGAACATTGGCTTTGTACCTAAATATATGTTCATCCTGGTTTTGAAAGTGTTACTTCTCATTATCTCAAGCCTTTCTTCAATCCATAGGACGTTACCTTAGTAAAGAACCCTTAATAACATTATTGCTAATAGGATGCGTATTCACTCTGAGGCAGTTTCTTAAAAGGAAAGCAGAATCTTATTTAATGACGAAGTGCTCACCTTAAGTTGTTTCTGAAGCTCGAAATCCATCTGAGAACGCAATACATACAGTTAAAGGTTGCATCTTGCGAAAGTAGAATTTACCATAATTTTGTTCAGAGTCTGAGCTAAAATACTATACTCAAAACAAGGTTTGCGGTGGTGTCTATAGGTTTGTAAAACTTGTCATAGTTACTGGCAAACATTTGCACTTGAAATGAGCGCGTAGGAGTTAAAAAATTTAAGTTAAAGGAATGAAAGATAGGAAATTCTTACCCGGAACCCTTCTTTCTTTGTTCAATCGACGGCCTGCGCAAATGGTGACGTCAAACGGAATCGATAATCTGTCGGTTCTTCGTTAAAAATCGCTTCGGGGCATCGTAACAGTGAAGTCGTTGTAAGACAAGAATTCGAAAGTTTCACGAACTTCTTGCCCAATCTCAAATTATCCCTTTCTCTTTGATTCTCTAGACTGATTACTGGTTCATTTCTCTATCTTTGTTACTTGTGGCACCTCGTGCAATTTCATCGACAGGCTTCCCTCACAGTTGTTCACATGAGTGGCTTCCATTTTATGAGTATAAGCGAACAGACCATCTGATTTAAGTTTGATTCCAATGCTCCGTAAGAATCCCGTCATTGTTTGCCTAGTATCCACCTAAGAAGACTACAGGTTTGTTTCAAACTAGCAAACCAGGCGTTTAGCACGTCTTGCGTCGTTGGTAGAAGTAAGAATAATGAGCGAGACAGGAAATTACGCCTGTTGAGTATCGCGACGTGGCATGCCAAGAGTGTCTCAAGCTTATTCGCTTGGACAATTGGCCTTTATTTTAGAGGTCACTGAACCGAGTTGACAGATAAACCACTTTCGACGGAAAGGAAATATGTTTTCGTAGTCGTCGATGCTCCGCCTTCTAAATGAATGCAGGTACAGTTGAAGCCAAAAAGATAAATGTAACTGGCTCAGGAGATAAATCTCTCTATGCATGACCTTACTGATACCAAGCGCAAGTGAATTGAGATTAAATTATATTCTTAACCTGATTGTAGATAAACCTTTGGAAACGCCGAGATCTTTGAACCGCTTACATATTTGATTTTTTCCATTAGTAGCCTTCGTACGCATGTGGATAACTGAATTTAGTACTAATACTCTCAATATTCTGTACAAGTCCTAAACGCTATCCAGAGTTCACCATATCTGTCTCAAATTTGCCTTTGAACAGCGTGTTCTGTTCCGCTATTGAAAGAAAGCGCCTAGTCATTTGTTTTGAAGTCTTTGGGAAAATATTAAATAAATGATGATGACATAAGCTTTAACAAAGTACTCTAAATATTTGGTCTGTGTCTGTAATTAATTACTTATTGTGTGGCACCAACGTCCCTTCGTTTTCCGTTCGTTCTTCTCACGATGCATGACTGGTTCGTGATATTCGATCAGAGATTTGTTGATGGGAAATTGCGTGACTACAAAGATTCCTGATTCCTAAATAGTCATTATAGGCTCCAAACGGTTCGGGTTTTTTTGGCATTTCAGTGATTTAACACTAAACTAACAGTGACTTAACAATTGATACGATGGAACATGTATACAAAAAAAACATTAAAGTTTGATAGATTTTCCAACGGGAAGCGCAGCATAACCTGAGGATCACATTTCAATCATTTCTATTATCACTTGGATGCCGGCTCAAACGAATGTGCTCACATTACCTTTTGCTTACTTGGTGCTCTTTCAGCCATAATGTTTTCAAAATCTCACGGACGTTGTAATTCTTGCACCGAGGCATCTCGTCCACGGATCAGTGCTCTGGCTATAGTTCCTTGAATATCACTTACCTTTAACGTTTGAGGGTATAAAAGTTCCTTTAAATCCTACCTACTGTATTAAAACAGCGCTATTTGTAGCTAATATCACTGTGGTTTGTTGGCGATCTTCTCTAGCTTCTAGGAAAATGTTAATAAATCGTTTGCTTTTTGGTATTTGCGGTCGTGAAACTATTTCTGAGAAAAGTGTTAAGAATGGCAGCTTTGAAGTACACAAGAAAATTCTTGGAAAAGACAAACCCACCCGAGTGATTGATTTTTTGAAAAAAGCCTCTCTTCATTACTTAGTGCGGTGGCAGTCTTGAAGGATTTTTTAATCAAAGGAACTTTACTTACTACTACCTAGCAAAAATGTTTTGGGAACGGCTGGCTTATACGTCGAAGCAAAGCTGAGTTGGAGTTCTGCTAATACTGTCAAGTTATGAATAGCTTAAAACAGGATCTTGATGGAAGCCAGCTTAAGTTTTAATAATGAAGATACTCAAGCTTATATGATTATAATGACTTGGTTTTCTTTGAATGAAAATTAAGATATTTATTGAACTATTGCAACAGTCAAGCCTTCGGCTCAGCTACAAAGTTACAGGAAATCTGAACGGGTAATATTTCAGTACCCTTATGCGTAAGTGTGCCAGATGTGCCGGATACTTCATTTTCCCGCGCATCGCAGCACGAATTGTACGTTATGTAATAATCATGGTTTGTCTCAGTGTACGGCCATCAAACCAAAATAACGATCGGCCATAATGACTTTCAAAGTTATGTCAGCCTGTAAGAAGTTCAGTGAAACTAGCTGAAATGTTCGTACCTAATCGCGCTAATATCCCGAATAACACAAAATTGTGATTTTGTTCAAGGGTATTGGGTGAAAGTTTGAAAGATACGAGTTAAGGATTCGCTTTTTCGTTCGCAAATTTCGCCAGCTTTTGATTTGCAAACTACGCTTTGTTTTCCTCTCGAGCTTCTCTGACGTTGAAAAATAGGCCGATCCGAACGCTGAATTTCCTTTTTTGTCTTAAGTTATGGCAATTTCCCAATACATAATGCTGTCATTCTTTATTCCTCATGTGCAGAGATCGAACGATAGAAAGAATTAAGGTGATACCTCAGGGAAAAAAGGTATCGAACAACTGATTTAAAACTTTCCTTAACTGTTCCCTGCTAATGTCTATTTCGAAAAATACAATTTAAAAGATAGGTCACCTTGCTTGTTTAAGAGATTAGATGAGCCAAACTTACCCCTCTTATGCTTGTTCTGACACTAACCACGCGTCATTTCATCGGTTCACAGTGCATTTTCAGGTTGCTGGAGGCAAGGGTGATTAAAGTAACGTTTAAAAAAGTCAGATTGATAGGTAGAAAGTATCAAGCGTATGGAACAATTTTTTATATAATTTGCGAAAAAAATCACGCAGTTTTAAACGACATCGACTCAAAACGTTCCTCGAGTCGTTGCTTTCAAGGTCATAATTTGTATCATCGAGTCGGGCTTTCTGCACGCTTTTAGCCATATCTTTTTTTCCTTTGATGAATTTGCTTTAAATTTCGTAAATTTAAAAGGAATAATTTTTACGAAAAAATTCATGCAATAAAAAATATAAAGGAGTAAGTTTCTAAAGAAACTGTGGTGCTGCGTCGGTGGGAGAGCATAGCGGGTAACGCTCGAAACGTCAGCTTTTTTAACCTTTACGGTGGCTAATTTACGTTTTCAACTCAGTTGTTAACACTAAATTACCTGCAACAAAAAATATAGGTCACCGTGCTTGTTCGCGAGCCAAGGACCATCGTACATCTTTGCCTGGTCCATTTATTGAAATACAATCTGTGTTCTTGGAATGCACTCGCGCTTATTCGCCTGAGTACGTAATTTTTATGCGCAGTACAGAATGCCTAATGCAATATTGAGGAATCACGTTAAGAAGAGAAAAGGAGTCTTGAAAATGGCTGTAACGATGGAAATGACATGGGAATAGAAACAACCAGAGAAATATACAGCGGTTTAAGAAACCGTGACAACATTGCACGATTTATGACAAGACCGAACATGAAACATCACTTCATCATGTAGGATAGCAATCAGCTTTCTCATAATTATTTTTCGTGAGAGTTTGCTCACGAAGGTGATTGCGAATCAGTTGCTACGAATGGCATAAATGGATTTTTCTGTTTTATTTTGTTTATATTCACAATCACCTCGATCCATAAAACTAAATCTTCTTGTCCGTCCCTTACGGTCACGAATTACTTACATTTCTCTCTCAGTAGGGCATTTGTCACGGGAGAGGATGAGGGAGTTATTTACTCATTGCCCAATAAGGATTAGAGATCTAGACTTACGTGAAAGATTGATTTAGCTGCGGATAAGTTTGCACTCTGGATGAAATATGAACGATCTAAGGAGTTCATAAATTAGACGAGGTCGGTAAAACTTGAGAATAAGGCTGACCTGTGACTGAGTTGCATCTCGAGGAAGCAGCAATACTCCCAGGCGCTTCATGCTTGAGGAACCGCAATAAGCCCTGGCAGTATGGGTCATGTGTGGCAGACTTAAAATCAACACAAAAAAGGGGACATGCATCTTGCTCTTGGAAGCTTCTAATTAAACTTAAGAGCCTTAGTTACACCCATCAAAAACTTTTAAACAATATGTTTAAAAAAAATCCTATACTAGCTATATCACAATTCATTACAGTATAAATTCAAAGTCATTGCGGTAATTTGACAGTTTTTTTTTTCTAGTAAATGACTAAAGACGATCAAATAGTAAGCTATATAAGTAAACTGCTCCAGTTGGTCTATATCTACGGAAAAAGAATATTTCGGAATCTGTTCTAACCACATGATTTAACTTGAACATGCACCTTTGTCATCACAGGGTTTTCGCTAGGAACAACGAGCCCTATTATTGATATAGTAATTTATGTGGTAAAACTTTGACTTGGCAATTTCGAAGGTAATGGGTTGAATCTACCTTGCATCTCCCTTCTCATGCTTCTGAATCTCAGAGAGGGTGGTACTGTCTCTTCCCTCCATCATTGTTACAAAGTCCTTAAATGAATCACTGAGTGCAAATTTATTGTGGAAATGAAACGTTTTCAAGAAATTGAAAGTTTCGGCGACAAAATTTTCGTGAATTTCCTTGACTCTTTTCATAACAGTGAGAAGTGTCTCCTCCCTTAGAAAATTTGATCAAAAAAGGTGAGTCAAGAATCCTTCGTCAAGTAGAAGGTGTTTGATATCGTCATTAACAAAAAGGTTTGATATCGTCACTAACAAAAAAGTTTGAAAGCTGTCCTGACTTTGTTGCAGTTTCCCTGTTTTCCATTTGTTTTTTCAAACCATAAATAGCAGTAGGTTCGAGTTAATATTGATTCATGAACGTACAAGCGAAGTTTTGAGACACTGGAGAAAAAGGTGTCAATGAGATTTCTACCATTAATCATGGCAATTCGCTCATGGTTAGTAAACGTAAAAGCAGCGAAGGCAGCGGCAGTGCACCTGTTTCCAATGACACAGAAGCTGAGATTGAGTTGCTCAAAATGTCATTAAACTTATTTCTATTAATGCAGTTCAGAACATAATAGATCTTTAGATATTTGCAAAGCGAAAAAAAAGATAACCAAAGTCAAATTTCGACGGGGACACGGGGTGTATTGAAAATAGTCGGAGTGCTTTCAAATGGATTTTTGATAGAGATTCAAGACGATCAAAAAAGGGCATTGACGGTCGTCAGCGACATTTTGGGCTGACAAGAAATAGCCTTCCTTAAGTCAACAACGACGGAATCAACGTTAAGAAAATCTAAAAATTTTAATTATTTGTTCTTTAATAGTTCCATGGTCTCTACCGAACTCTTCCAAGATGACCTCTTTGTATTTTACCATAAAAAACTGATAAATTAACACACTAACTCACGCAATTCATCTTGTGTAA